AGAATAAATTAAACCCCGTCCGGATGACATGCGATTGGGGAGCCTCAACCCTGAACACGGGTAACCCCGTGGCTTTTCCGCCGGGCCGACATGTTTCCTCCGATTCCGTCAATTGCATACAATCGCAAACCCGCACTGGTAAAATCCGAATGCTATTGGAATTGACCGTGGAAAGATTGGCGAGAAAGTACCGCATGTCGGAGATGGCGATGCGAGTCGCACAGCTTTCACACAATCACGAATCGCCACACAGGCGGAGGAAACCGAAACCAAGCGTAGCCAAATATTTGAACCAGTCGCAATAATCCACATGGGCTGGCACGTTATCTTGGGCAATATGGTATGGGGAAAATCGAACCTTCTGGGCGCTTCATGACGTGGAGTAGAATCCCACATAACGTCATTTGTGCCCCTCCCACTGCTGTCACGTACGCCAGCTGCCGTATGATGACCCACATTGACACTCTTGGCGGGAATTCTGAATGCCTGATGTCATCATCATCATCACTGATACCGCCCTCACTACAACTACGCTCCATCCCTATTCCAGTTTGACGGTCAGCACTAAAGGGCCCACATGTTATGCATTGCTGCAACTGTAATTCTGCACCATGTTACTGTTTTATATTCCAAAAACTCCCCACTACAAATGCCGCATTGTCGAAGAAACTAGATTAGGCATCCAGTACTGAAGTTTGTTTCCTTGCTAACCATGGGGGACTAGTGTTTTGCCATCTCATCTAGCACAGAGCTGATATCTAGTGGTCATTGGCAAGAAGAAAGAAGAAGTGCCTGCAGGTGGAAGGGCATGGACATTGTAGATAGGACGGAGCAAGGAAAAAACATTAAAACATGATCAAGAGATAACCAGAAATGGAAGCGAACAGTAGGTGAGGGGCAAGCCAAAACGACGACGAGAAGTCAAATTTGATATACTGTAGGTGAAGGAGCTTCATTCCCCAAGAAATTCCATGATTTCGCAGGCATTCACCCTTGAACCAGAAACAACGTATCAAGAAACCGAGCCAACAAGAGGACGAAGCAACAAGTGGACGAGGCAGCAGGACAACGAGGCAGCAAGATGACGAGGCAGCTAGAAGACGAGGCAACAAGACGACGAGGCAGCAAGTTTACGAGTCAGCAAGCTGACGAGGGGATGTACCAGAACGATGCAATATAGGTGAAGGAGACCATGTATCCCACAGCCACTGACCATGCAAGCAGACTCTTGAGTCGACTCATCATAGACAAGAGGACGAGGAAGCATACCCTCATACGCTTACAGGTGAAGGGAGACGTACCAGAAGGAGGCGATATAGGTGAAGGAGGCCATATACCCCAAGGCCACCGACCATGCCAGCAGCGTGCAGTCATCGCCACTGGTGCAAGAGAAGGGTGGGGTAAATTGCAGCGGATAGAGGGTGGAGTAAGTTGCAGGAAGGGGAAATGCGAGGAAATTGCTGCTATTATGAGAGACTCGTGGCGGAGAGAGGGGTGGGTGGGGGATGGGGGGAGAAGGAAGGGGGGAAGAGCTTGGGGAAATGGGAAGGGAGCTGGGGAGAAAGGGCTTAGGCATCGGCAGAAAAGGGAAAGCCTTTTTCGAAAATGGGAAGGAACAGATATGAGGAGAACTGCCAGGGAACATCAACGGAGGAAGTCGGGCCTCAGGAGAAAGAGAGTCAGAGAAGGGAGCCGGACGCAGAGAGCAGGAGAGAAAGAGAGAGAGAGAGAGAGAGAGAGAGAGAGAGAGAGAGAGAGAGAGAGAGAGAGAGAGAGAGAGAGAGAGAGAGAGAGAGAGAGAGAGAGAGAGAGAGAGAGAGAGAGAGAGAGAGAGAGAGAGGAGAGAGGAGAGAGAGAGGGGGGGGAGGGAGCGAGGGAGAGCAAGAGGAGAGAAAGATAAAAGGGAGAGGGAGAGAGTGAGTGAGTGAGTGAGGGAGGGAGGAAGGGAGGGAGGGAGGAAGGGAGGGAGGGAAAGGAAGGAGTAAGGTAAAGGCCGCAGGCGCATGAGGGGACGGTGGTAGGAGGGGGTGGGGAAGGGAAGGGGGGGGATGCGGGTGGGCAAGGGTGTGGTTGAAGTGTCGGAATGAGGATGGAGTGAGAGGAGCGGAGCGGAATGCGGATGGAGTGAGAGGAGCGGAGCGCATAGGGGGACGCACAGCAGGTTGAGTAGGGCCATCCCGTTGTAGCAGGCGTTGCCGCGGAAGCTGCTGGCTGTAGCAGACGCGCCGAAGAGCAGCATCAGCATCATCTGCCAGCACACAGAGGCCAGGGGGGAAGCGCATAGAGAAGAGGGCGGAGGACGCGCGCGCGGAGACGCGGAGGATGCGCGCGTGAAGACGCGGAGGGGAACGGGGTTCGGAGTGACGAGATGCAAGCGGGATGAGATGGAGCGTGGGGTATGGAGAGAGAACAAGGCTGGAGAATTCTCAGAAGCGAGAAAAAAGAGCTCGGCGGAATCTAGAGGAAACTCACGAAGCTGATGTAGAGCTGAATGCGGACGGCCATGGACGGCTTGCGGCGGCCGAGGAACGACTAGACTAGACTTGACTGTACTTGACTTCCGTTGACTCACGAAGCTGATGTAGAGCTGGATGCGGATGGCGTTGACGGCCATGGACGGCTTGCGGCCGAGGAACGTGACGACCGCGCCAATCACGGAGAGGCAGAGGCCCGCGATGGCCATGGAGAAGAGGTAGCACGTGGAGTTAAAGCCCCTGTAGTTCATCTTCATATACGTCATCACGCTGGGGTGGGAAGGGGAAGCGGTGGGACAGGGAAAGGGGGAGAAGGGGGAGGGAAGGGGAAAGAGGAAGGAATGGAGAAGAGGGGAAAGAGGGAAAAGAGGGGGGAATGGCGAAGAGGGGGGGGTTGATGGGTAGGGTAGAGAGGAGGTGGTGCGTGAGTGTGTGATGAAGTGGAAGAGTAAACGCTCGTCACGCTCCTCACGCTTCAACACGTGATGAAGTGAAAGAATAAACGCTGATGATCATTCCACGTGTGATCGTCATTACGCCAAAGTACAAACGACGGGGAATGGGGAGGGGGGAGGGGGAAAGGAAGGTGGAAGAGGAGGGGATGGAGCACGGTATGATGGAGATGCGACGAAGTTACCTTACCGTGATGTGCCGTCTCTGATTTAGGAGATATTTAAGAATTCTAGGAAACCAGGCGGTTTGGTCGTGATTGTCTGGCTGAGATGGTTTTTACTCTGATTTGAGTCGACTGAAAAAGGGCTAGTATTTTTCGAGGTTAATGCGTGGCTACAGGCCGACCAATGGTGAACATTAGAACGCGAACAGGAATGAAGAGGGTCAATGGAAGGAATGACGCGCGACGTGCGCGAAATATGAGCGACGTACGCGAAAGGTGAGCGACGTACACGAAGGACGCGATGCAGAAGCATATTTCGATGAAGCGCAGGAGGATGGGAATGACCAGGTACGACGACGCGCTTCGGTCCTTTCCGTCTCCCGACATGGCGACACTGGTGCGGAGGCTGCGACGACGACGACGTATATATATATTGTTGTGTCGCCAGAAGTTGTTACTCACGACGGGACGCTTTCTTATACAAGCTGGTTGACAATCGGAAGCGGGTTTGTTCCGTCGAGCGCAAAGGCAATGCACGTATTTCTTTTGTTGATGTCAGATTGTGGTGGAGAAAGTGAACTGCATTGAGGGTTGGGTTGGGTCACATCAAACACCCTACTGTCTGTTTTCACGGGTCTGGTCTGGCTGGAAAGGGAGGAGGAAGGATGGGATGGAAGGAGGGGAGTGAGTGCATGCGGGGGAAGACGTGCGCGCGCGAGTAATGAGCGCGGGTCCCAAAAGTTCTCGTATGAATGTTCAGAGCGGTCAAACAATCAAACCGCTTTGGATCGCACATTATCGTGCTCAACCGCTTGAACTGAACAGAGGGTGAACTTTCCGGCGGGACCCGCTAGGGGTGGGAGACTTGAGGGAAGAGGAGCGGAGGAGAGGGGAGGGGAGGGAGGGAGGGAGTCAGCTCGAGTCGCTCTTTGGTCTGTGCGCGAGAACATGTGTAGTTCTGCATTGGCGGCGCACAAGGAAATGCGCTCGGGTCGGACAGGGAGGGCGGGGATAGATTTTTGGAGAAGTTTCTCGAGGCTGGTACGGTTCGGATAAAAAGTATTTCCTGTCAGAATTCGGCTCCAAATAGGGCTCTGTAAAATCGTGTAATTATTTACCGAACAAGGGGCTTTCCAAGCTCAAAGAACCTACGTCTTAAAAAATTTTCATGAAATCGGTGCCCCTTGTTGTTCACTAGAGGCACTTCGTGCGACCCAAATTGCCCCACGGTTTGGTGCCCCATTTCTCGTTGCCCCGCAGCCGTCAAATCATCGTACTGAGCACGTTCGAGCCATAGATACAACTGGCTGACAAGTCGAACCTCCTTCAAGACGCGCCATTTTCTCCTGTCCCTCACGAAGACGGTGGCTCCCGCCATTTTCACCATCCAGCCACGCCCCTGCCTCGTGCGGCTCCAACGCGCTTTCTTTCCATCTTGGGGCTGACCTGCCAAGAAAACTCATTCCCTTTCCTCCCTCCCCTTCACATCTCTCTCTCCCTCCCCATCCTTCCCCTCCCTTCCCTCACCCTCTGCCACTTCCTTCTCCTCCCCTCACTGTCCCCCCCAATCCGTCATTCCTTCCCCCAACTTTCTCCCCAACAGAACTCCCCTCATCTGCCTTCCCCCAACCTCCTCCTCGCAGCACACCCTACCTCGTCTTGGCCCAGCCACCACCACTCACAGCACACAACACCCAATTCATCATCTTCCCATTTTTCGTCAGAATTGAGCACTCCGAAGTGGAGACCACAATTCTCGAGAATCGCCAACACGTTGGATCACTCAAGCAAGCAGAGATTTTGGACCCACTTTCTCACGCTACCATTCCTCCTACTCGCGGCTCGTCTCATCGCGGACATACTTAGTCTTACTACGTGTCGCGGTTGTCGCTCGGTCAAGCATCGCAGCCATGGCGAGTGGCTCGGCCAAGTTCTTTCCCCTCGTGCTGCGCTTCCTCGAATGCTGCTTCTGCTCCGCAACTTTCGCGTACGGCGCGCTCCACACGCTCTCCCCTTTTTTTCTAGCCCAGCTCAATTCCGTTTTCAATGAAAGTCCCTTCACAAAAGCAAAACATCTCTATTTCTTCGCTTATTTTATTCCTCCTAATCTGCCGCTCGAGTTTCCTGCTATGAAACATGCATGCAGAACTGACTCAACGGACCGATGAATGTTTTTTCTCTTATATAACATCCCTATGCAATGCTTGCTGTCATAGCATTTCCCACGACGTACATGTTTTTGTTCTCGCCTCTTCCTTAGGGAATCTCTAAGCTCTCATGAGGTTCGATGGTCGTCGTGATTTTTCCAAGCTCTTATGATTTCCTCCTCCATCATTTGAAACGAACCGAAAAGAGTGTTTTTGAGACTTCTCAAAAACACTCTTCTATCACGTAGCTTTCGACGGTCGTCGTGCTTATTCCAAGCTCTAAAGATGTCATCCTTCATCAATGGAGAACAGACTTACTGTCTTTCGTTGAAATGTCCGCTTGCTTCTCCGCGTTCGCGCCTCGTAAACGTGCGGCCCACGTACCTCTGCTCCGCTGATAACAGCGGTAGCGGCGGAGCAGAATAAGGTTAGGCGAGGTAGCGCGCGAGTAGGTAACGGGTCCCATAGTAGCACTAACCGCGCGAGACGTCAGAGCGGGTCTGGATGTAACCCCCTACAACATACTCTTCCGTCAAACATGCTGGCTACCTCGACTTTCTCGGGGGAGTTTTTCGGGGGCAACTCAATAGCCCTACCTTGCATATCCCCCCCCAGCATGGAGTGCTTACCTTTAAACTTTTTCAACAATGACTTTCTCGTTACACCTTGTTGTGTCACTGGGCTCATCCTCTCTTTCGTCCTCATGCTCGTGCACGCCTTGCCAACGCCGCCACCACCCTCAGCCCCTTCCCCTACCCCTTCTCCCCATTCCCCCGCCCCTGTTCCGTCTCCCCCCTCTCCCCACCACCCCCGGTCCCCCCACAATCCCGACCCCCCCCCCCCCCCCCCCCCCCCCCCCCCCCCCCAAACCCCCCCACAGCATCCTGTGCTATCTCAACTTCTCCTGGAAGAGCATCAACGTGACGGCCTTTCTGTTCGGAACGGGCGTCACGGGGCTCATCCTCTCCTTCATGCTCATGCTCGTGCACCTCGCTAACATCGCCGGAGTCAAGATGGACTCGCTCGGCTCGCAGCTCTTTGGAAGCTTTGTAAGCGCTTGCTTCTGCTACTTTTTATTACCCCTTGGTAGTGTGCATGTCCCCTCCCTCCCCATCACGGGGCTCATCCTCTCATTCATCCTCTCATTCTTCCTCATGCTCATGCTCATGCTCGTGCACCTCGCTAACATCGCCGGCGTGAAGATAGACTCGCTCGGCTCACAGCTCTTCGGAAGCTTTGTAAGCTTTTCTTGCGCTCGGTCTCGCTTTCTGCTCGTTCTGGCGTTGCGCTCGTTCTGGAAGCCTGTGTCTCTCCTCCCTACTTCTCCTCCGACCCTCTCATCCGAGCCTCTCACCCGGACCTATTGTCCGAACCTCTCCTTTCCACATCGTTCGTTGCACCGTGCGCGTCAACAAGATGATTTACAAGAGTCGTTCCAACTTCCAATGCCCCCACCCCCACGGCAGATGATGATGATGCTGCTGTTCGCCGCATCCTGCGCGTCTGCAGCATTCACGTCGCGCATGTGCGCCTCCTACTCCTCCAACTTCCTACTCGGCTTCATGTGAGTTTCTTGTGTGCGTGTGTGTGTATGTGTGCATGTGTGTGTGTGCGTGCGTGTGTGTGTGTGTGTGTGTGTGTGTGTGTGTGTGTGTGTGCATGTGTGTGTGTGCGTGCGTGCGCGTATGTGTGTGTGTGTGTGTGTGTGGAGGGGGGGGAAAGGGGGGGGGTTGGTTTTCAAATATACATGTACGTCCAAACCCCCCACTTACCACTCCTTCCCACCCTCATCTCCCTCTCCCTTCCCCCCTCCACTCCCTGCTTTCCCTAGCGTACTCTTTCCCTACTGTGCTCGCTCACCCTCTCTCGCAGCGGGTGTTATCCGTTTATTTATCTGCCTTTCGCAAAACCTCTCACCTTCTTCCTTGCTGCCCCTCCCTGCTCCTCGTCCCCCTTGTGATTCCTTGCCGTCTTATTGTATGCGTTACAGTCAAGACAGCTGCACGCTTCTCAAGTGGGCCAACGCCATGGGCTTCCTTGGCACATTCACCTACATGACATCCTTCTGGTGAGTGCAGTACACTCTGGTAAGCTTCGGAAACTGAGAGCTTGTGCAACAACAAAGTGCATGCACGATCGGAACAGCCTGCAAGGCTTTACTCTGGAAATCCATGTCTCCGCCTGATGCTCGCGCATGCATGTTCAAAACATGAATTGCTTTGATAACTTTTGTCTGTGATGTATTTGGTGGTTTTGCAGGGTATTTACTTCGTTCATCTACATGGAAGCATAGATCTGTAGGTAGGACGTGACTTGATTGCTGACTAGGACGTTCTTGCTCTGCATGCAATTTTCGCGTTAGTCGAAGACAATGCTATTATATCTCAGGGTTGCAAGGAATGGAAGTCCTTGGCGAGTTCAACTGTCGGTCTCTGAAGAATGGAACACATTTACAGTTACCCATTGGTTCTCTAAAACTCCCCCACAAAGGAGCACATTTTGTGTTCTCGGTTTCCAATTACTTCCAATGAGCAAAAATCATTGTAGAAGACTTCGTGGTTTTCTGAATCACTGTTATACTCGTTTTGTGAGGATTGCAGTAACCGTCCGAATGTGCAACCCCGCAAGGGCGAACCGGGTTGTCTGCTTTGTTTATTTTTGTCTGATGCGTTATTGTCCTAAGCAGTGAAACAGTTTGGATGTGTGAGAAACATTAACGGTCAATAACGCATGTCGATTTAGGCCAGCGGGCCTAACATTACACACCCTTGATTTTCACGGGACGAACGTCTTGTTCCTCGTGGCATCCCTGCTTGGAATACCAACTAATCGCAGACAATCTGCCAGTCCTAATTGTACCACGTGGGACAGCATTCCTGGCACCTCCACCACCGAAATGGCCCACGCGGCAATTCCCCTCTCCACATGATTGGTCGAACTCTATTCAGCCGCCGTCTTGAGTTCTTCTCGACTCAATAGCGAGGATAGTTCCCTCCAATTCTTGTTCAACCCTAATCACTCCCTGCCGTTGCAAAGCAAACACCATCTCTGCTTCTTTCCTGCTTTCTGCTGCAGCTCCTAAAGCAATAGACCGGAGAACGTGCTCCTAAGTTACGTCTAGGGTCTAGATGAAGCGTTAGATACTTTAGAATGTTATGATGCTCTAGGATTCAGATGAAACTTCTATGGTCGGAGTAGGCAATATTGCAGGTTATCGCGATCAGGTAGTTTCTGTCTCGCTTGCGCATGACACAAGGCCAGTAGCTCTTATACGCTTCTAGGGTGTATAAGGCCAGTATCTTTAAGATTATTCTACGCATATAAGGCCAGTGTTTCCAATGTTATTGTCGAGTATACATTCTTATTCGTAGATACTGATTTACCAAGTTAAGCGCATTCTGTTACAATGGAGAAGGATATGCATGAAGTGTCCAACCTTATAACGGATGGAGATGGCGGTGCGAAGGTGGTGGCGGGAAGGAAGGCACCGACAGTTATCGCACAGACTGAGCGGCGCGACAGAAAAGTCGTCGCAGCGGTTAAGGCGCTTGCGTCGCAGCCGTCGCAGAGGGGTTTCGTCGCGGAAGGGATGTCGGTGACGTGGACACGGCTACAGTACTCCGTGCCGGCAGCCAATGTGCGTCCCTGAAGCGTTTCTTGTTGATGGTTTGTTTGTTTGTTTGTTTGTTTGTTTTTTTTTTTTTTTCAAGCATTTAGCACAATCAGTTGAGAGCAAAAACCTAATGTACGGTACTCCAATTCGGCATCCAATGGGTGTGAGTCGACTCAGCCCAGGCTAGATGACATTTGAGTCGACTCACAAGTTGTCTCAGATACAACTTGTGTAGCTCCAATGCCCGGAGCGAAGTAGCTAGATACAATGCTCCGTGCATGCAGCTACAGTGATGCCCTTTGGCCCCGTTCGAGCTCCCGCATTTCCGCAACTTCCCCCCCACCCCTTTCCTCCCCCAGTCCAAGTGGTGCTGCGTGCGCGCGGAGGACGACGCCACCATGCCCCATCCCACCATCCTTCCGCCCACCCACACTTCTCATTCCGCCTTCCTTCCCCCGTTCCCCCACACCCCCCGCCCCCCTGCTTCCGCCAGTCTAAGTGGTGCTGCGTGCGCGCGGAGGACGACGCCACCATCTACCGCAAGAAGGTCATGATGAACGTCACGGGGGGCGTCGCTCCGGGCAACTTGCTGGCTGTCATGGGGTGAGTGTGGGGCAATCTGCTGGCTGTGATGAGGTGAGTGGGTGTGGGATAGCGTGGGGTGCGGTTGGGGTTGGTTGAGTGCGTATGCGACCATCTACCGCAAGAAGGTCATGATGAACTTCACTGGGGGCGTGGCGCCGAGCAACCTGCTGGCTGTCATGGGGTGAGTGGGTGTGGGGTGTGTGTGATGGAGTGGGTGAGAGTGAAATAGTGAGTGAGTGAGGTGGCTTGAGTGAGTGAGGTGGCTTGAGTGAGTGAGGTGGCTTGATTGAGTGAGGTGGCTTGAGTGAGTGAGGTGGCTTGAGTGAGTGAGGTGGCTTGAGTGAGTGAGGTGGCTTGAGTGAGTGAGGTGGCTTGAGTGAGTTCGTGTGCCACCATCTAACGCAGCAAGGTCATGATGAACGCCACAGTGGGCGTGGCGCCGGGGAATCTACTGGCCGTGATGGGGTGGGTGAGTGGGTGTGGGGGGGGGATAGCGTTAGTTCTGCGATGGGGTGAGTGGGTGTGGGGTAGTGTGGGGTGAGGTTGGGATGGTTGAGTGCGCAACAAGGTCATGATGAACGCCACGGGGGGCGTGGCTCCTGTCAACCCCCTTCCTCCTCCCCTTCCCCTCCCCTCTGCGAACCTTTTCTCTCTCTTCCCCAGTCCTGAAGGCTCAGGCAAGTCTCTGCTGCTGCACATGCTGGCGGGGCGGCTGGAGGGCGACCCCGACCTCCGGGGCAGCATAGAGTACAGCGGGGAACGGTTTGGGGCCTTCAGGACGACCCTCCCCAACTCCCCTCCTTCCCGTCCCCCGTTTGTTTTCCCCTCCTCTGTGTATCTTCGTCCCTCTTCCCCAGTCCTGAAGGGTCAGGCAAGTCCCTGCTGCTGCACATGCTGGCGGGGCGGCTGGAGGGCGACCCCAACCTCCGGGGGAGCATAGAGTACAGCGGAGAGCCGTTTGACGGCTACAGGGCCAACCCAACCCCCCTCCTTCCCGTCCCCCTTTCTTTACCCCTCCCTTGTGAACCTTTCCTCTCCATCCCACAGTCCCGAGGGCTCTGGCAAGTCCCTGCTGCTGCACATGCTGGCGGGGCGGCTGGAGGGCGATCCCAATTTTCGGGGCAGCATAGAGTACAGCGGCGAGCCGTTTGGGGCGAATCTGAGGCGCGAGATAGGCTTCGTGGAGAACGACGTGGACCTGCAGGCCAATCTCACGGTGAGGATTCACGAGTTGGCCTATCCGACGGTGGGGGTTGAGCGCCAAGGTGATCTGACGGCGGGGTTGGCCTTCAGGGTGGTCTGACGGTGAACTGTGATGAGTCAAGCTCTCTAGAGCTTGAAGGCCAACGTAGGGTGGTCTCTACGTTCTCCTAATTCCTGTCCCCCTTCGTATCCCCATCCCTTTTCCTCATTCATGCCCCTTATCTAGATCCACCCTCTCCTCTTTGCCCCTCCCCTTATTCATGCAACCCACCTCCCCCCCCTCCTTTCACACACAGGTGAAGGAGACGCTCATGTTTGCGGCCATGCTGCGGCTGCCCGAGGGCACGGAGGAGATCGACCAGATAGTGCGTGTGGAGCATGTGCTTGATTCATTGGAGCTCACGCAGTGAGTGCCACAGAAGGGTGTGGTTTTGTAGCTCACAGAAGGGAGACGCTCATGTTTGTACGGGTGTCGGTGGCTGAGTGCTGGGGTTGCAGGGAGGGCACGGAGGAGATCGACCAGATAGTGCGTGTGGAGCATGTGCTTGACTCGCCGGAGCTCACTCAGTGAGTGGAGGGAGTGGGATGGGGGAACTGAAGGGTGCTTGTTGCCTGCCAAGGTAGGTGGGTGGGTGTATGGGTGGTGGTCCACAGGGGATGCAGGGAGGGCACGGAGCAGATAGATCAGATCGTGCGCGTGGAGCATGTGCTGGACTCGCTGGAGCTCACTCAGTGAGTGGAGGGTGGAGGAGGGGGAGGAAGTGATGGGTAAATGGGCGGGGAGAGTGGGAGGGAGGTGGTGGGGGTGCATTGAGGGCACGGAGGGGAATGTGCTGGACTTGCTGGATTTCACTCAGTGAGTGGAAGGAGTGGGATGGGGAGAGGGGGGGTGGTGCGTGTTGCCTCCACGGGTGCTTGGCTGGGTGGTGGTCCACAGGGGGTGCAGGGAGGGCACGGAGGAGATAGATCAGATGGTGCTGTGCGGAGCATGTGCTGGATGGACTCGTTGGAGTTTTCCACTCAGGGTGTGCGTGGGGTTTCTCATTGGAGGTGGGGGGTGCTGGTGGTGGTTACCTGCACGGGTGGGTGGGTGGTTATGATTTGATGGGTTGTTGGGTGGGCGGGGGAGCAGGTGGTTGTTGTTGTGTGCGTGGGGTTTCTCAGAAAGTAACTCAAATGCAGTGCTCAACCAGCTAGGTAGCATATCTCTCTCCCCTTCCCCCTCCCCCATCCCCATACCTTTCCCTCTCCCTCTCCCCTTCCCCTTTCCCCTCCTCCTCTTTCTCCCTCCCATGTTCCCTCGCCCTCCCCTTCCCCCTATCCTTTTGTTATGTCTCCCCCCCCAGCTGTGCGGACAAGGTGATAGGGCGAACGGGGCGCAATGCAGTGCTGTACAACGAGCTCAGGCGACTAGCCATCGGCGTGCAGATGATCGTCAACCCGCCGCTGCTGCTGCTCGATGAGCCGACCTCAGGGTGGGTAGTGGGCCGGAGTAGGGTGTGGGAAAGGGTAGCCTTTGGGTTGGACGTGGGTTCTAGAGAGGGGGTGTGTGTCGGCTCAGACGACTAGCTATTGGAATTCAGATGATCGTCATACGGCCAATGCTGCTGCTCGACGAACCAACTTCTGGATAGGCTCTGTTGGGAGGAGCGGATCATTGTAAGGATAGGTGACTGGGCGTGCATCATTACATGCGGGGGTGTGTGGTGGCTCGAGCAACTGGCTATTGGAGTGCAGGTGATTGTCAACCCGCCGCTGCTGCTCGATGAGCCCACCTCTGGGTGGGGTATTGGGGGATTATTTGCTATGCCTATGGCTCTGTGCATAACAAGAGCCCTCCATTCCTATGCTCTTGCGGGCCGGTCAGTAGTAGTAGTGGCAACAATGAAGCAGCCGTCAGCCAAGATGTTCTCTCTCTCCACGCACCTCCTCTTCATCACCCACGGCAACCTCATCTTCTTCCCTTCCCTCTCCCCCTCTTTCCCCTTCCCCCTACCCTCCCCCCTCTTTCCCCTTCCCCCTAATCTCCCCCCTCTCCCATTCCCTGACCCAATCCCCTTATTTCCTGTTTCAAATCTCGACGGGGCCATGGCTCCCTCCCACCCACACTGTTTTGCACACCCCATCTTCCTCGTCTCTCCTCCCCTTTCCCCCACCCACCCCCCACCCGCCCCCCACCCGCTCCCCTATCCGTCACCCCCCTCTCCCCCCTCCGCTCCCAGTCTCGATGGTGCCATGGCGCTCCTCATAACCAGAGCCCTCCACTCATACGCACGCGCCGGCAGATCAGTAGTGGCGACAATGAAGCAGCCCTCCTCCAAGGTGTTCTCTCTCTTCAACCGCCTTCTCTCCCCCTTCCATCTGTCAGGCTGGATGGGGCCATGGCCCTCCGCATCACAAGAGCACTTCATTACTATGCTCTCGCGGGCTGGTCAGTAGTAGCGACAATGAAGCAGCCCTCCTCCAAGATGTTCTCTCTCTTCACGCACCTCCTCATCATCACCAACTGCAATTCCAACTTCTCTCCTCTTCCCCCTCTTCCCCCTCCTTCCTTTCTTCCCCTTCCCCTCCGCCGGCCATTTCCCCCAATCCCCCGCTCTCAGGCTGGATGGGGCCATGGCTCTCCGCATCACAAGAGCACTCCATTCCTACGCACTAGCAGGCCGGTCGGTGGTAGCAACAATGAAGCAGCCCTCCTCCAAGATGTTCTCTCTCTTCACGCACCTCCTCATCATCACCAACGGCAACCCCACCTTCTCTCCTCTTCCCCCTCTTCCCCCTCCTTCCTTTCTTCCCCTTCCCCTCCGTCGGCCATTTCCCCCAATCCCCCGCTCTCAGGCTGGATGGGGCCATGGCTCTCCGCATCACAAGAGCACTCCATTCCTACGCACTAGCAGGCCGGTCGGTGGTAGCAACAATGAAGCAGCCCTCCTCCAAGATGTTCTCTCTCTTCACGCACCTCCTCATCATCACCAACGGCAACCCCACCTTCTCTCCTCTTCCCCCTCTTCCCCCTCCTTCCTTTCTTCCCCTTCCCCTCCGCCGGCCATTTCCCCCAATCCCCCGCTCTCAGGCTGGATGGGGCCATGGCTCTCCGCATCACAAGAGCACTCCATTCCTACGCACTAGCAGGCCGGTCGGTGGTAGCAACAATGAAGCAGCCCTCCTCCAAGATGTTCTCTCTCTTCACGCACCTCCTCATCATCACCAACGGCAACCCCACCTTCTCTCCTCTTCCCCCTCTTCCCCCTCCTTCCTTTCTTCCCCTTCCCCTCCGCCGGCCATTTCCCCCAATCCCCCGCTCTCAGGCTGGATGGGGCCATGGCTCTCCGCATCACAAGAGCACTCCATTCCTACGCACTAGCAGGCCGGTCGGTGGTAGCAACAATGAAGCAGCCGTCAGCCAAGATGTTCTCTCTCTTCACGCACCTGCTCCTCATCACCGATGGCAACCCCATCTTCTTCGGGGAGGCTCATGCGGCTCTCCCCTACTTTGACTCCATCGGATACACCATGGCTCCAGACACCAGTGCGGCTGAGTTCTTCCTGGTGAGTCCCTCTGCCCACACTGCTGTGCGTGCCCTACCAGCATCACTGTCTCTCTGTGGTGCCCTCGCTCTCTCCTCTCCGCTTTCCCTTATTTTGACTCCATCGGCTACACCATGGCCCCCAACACCAGTGCTGCCAAGTTCTTCCTGGTGAGTCCCTCCGCTCTCCCTTTCCTCTCTCTTCTCGCTCTCCCCACTCTACCACAGGACCTTACAGAACCCGAAGCAGTGGACACATCTATCCGGTCACCCTGTATCCTATCAGCCTGTCTCCCTCCTATCAGGGGTAGCAGGGTGACACATCTATCCTCCTAGCAGCACGTCTCCTATCACCCTGTCTCCCTCTTCTCCCTCTTCCCTCTCGTCTCTCTTCTCTCACTTTCTCACAACAGGACCTCACTGCCCCGGAAGCAGCAGACGCCTCTATCCATTTCGGCACGTCCACCAACCTCATCCGCCTGTGGGCCACTGGAGACGCCGCGAGGGAGATAGAGCGCGCCGCCATGCCCTCTGCCTCTGCTATGAGACGCGCGGGGAAAGATGCTGCAAATGGGGATGTTGAGGAAGGGGAGGCAGCGGGAGGGGAAACGGGAGGAGAATCGGGAACGCGAGTGAGGGACGTCGATGCGAGTACAGACTGGCGAGGGTTGAGCGAGGGAGGAGGAGGAGGAGGAGCGGCAGGTGGGGGAGGGGGAGTGGGAGGGGCGGGGAGTGGGAAGAGGTGGGTGACGTCATGGGGTTACCAGTTCCGTGTGCTGGCACGGCGGCATGTGCTGTCGTACCGGGTGGTGAATCAGGACTGGATCTTCGTGGGTGTCGTGGCTGCCAGCCTTGTTGTCTGCTCCTTACTGCCAGGTGAGACTTACCTGAATAACAGGCAGTTGAAGGCAGTTGAATAACATCACCTGAATTGTCACCTTGGTTGGCTCTAGGGCGAGCGCGTACGGATGCGGTTACCAATAGCTGCATACCATGTTGTCGCCCTGCTTACCTGACCCGAACCTTTTTGAGGCAACTCAAAACTGAGACGATTGTTGAGGCGCCGCAAAAAGGTTGGCATGTGCGTGGAGGGCTGGTGTGTTTTTGAGTCGACTCAAAAACATGTGCGTGGAGGGTTGGTGTGAGGATGGTGAGCATGGGGACGTGCTATCATGCCACGCGGCCATCCCGCTTACCTGACCCGACCCATCCCAGTCTGTCTCTGAATCTCGTCCCCACGCTCGCTGTCCTCACACCAACCTTCCATCGCACCAATCCCACATCCCCCTCACCCCGAACCCTGCCAGGCTGTCTGTGGTACAAGCGTGACCCCACCACACCACAGGGCAAGGGGTTCGCGACCTCGCAGGGCTGATTTTCTTCTCGCAGTTCTTCTGGGGGCTCGTGCCCATGCTCACCTCCCTCATCGCCTTCCTCCCTCGAACCCTCCATTCCACCCCCCCCACCCATCCCCCCCCATACATAACCCACACCAGGCTGCCTGTGGTACAAACGCGACCCCACGACAGCCCAGGGAGTGCGCGACTTGGCAGGGTTAATCTTCTTCTCGCAGTTCTTCTGGGGGCTCGTGCCCATGCTCACCTCAGTCATCACCTTCCTGGAAGACCGCAAGTCAGTCCAAAAAGAGCAAGAGGACGGCGTATATCATATCTCCGCGTACTATGCCGCCCGGACGCTCCTCAGCCTGCCATACGAGATCCTGCCGCCCGTCTTCTACAGCCTCATCGTCTACTGGATGACCGGGCTGAACCCGTCGGGCGGCCGGTTCGTCTTATTCACGCTCGTCCTTATCCTAGATACGATGGTGGCTTCGTCCATAGGGATGGCAGTCGGCACGGCATCATCTACAGTGAAACAGGGGATCTCAGTAGCGGCGATCCTGCAGCTGCTGTCGGTGATGGTGGTGCATTTCTTGTCTCTTAGTCCCCCTGACTGGGTGGGATGGACGCAGTACCTCTCCTTCTCGACCTATGTCAATAAGGTGAGGCATTTCTTCGAGCCTTGAAGAATACCACATTTACAAGAGGAGTAACACTGTAACAAAAAACAGATTTTTTTTTTTCATTCTAGTTTATTATTTATAAACATCAAGTTACTTGGCTAAATATTTGCCCTCAGCCTATGATGTACTTATGCACCCTTTCCATACTTTCACTTCTGTGCCTGGGCTACACCCTCTGCTACGGTTTGTGCTGAACTCATTATTGCCTGCATTCTTTGCGTCATCTTTCCTCTTGCACGCTCACTCTATTTCCCTCAATCGCCCCCCTCTCATCCCCTCTCCCCTGCCTGCCCCATTCATTCCATATCATCCCACCCGCCAGTTGCTAATGCGAATCAACTTTGATTCCGCCGATTACTACACTGGTAACTGCGGCATATCACCACAAAACAGCTCTGCTGTTGCTGCCAACACATGCTCGTGTGCGGCTACTCTGGAGCTATCGGGTATACAAAATCCGTTACCCGGGAATGGGTGGTTGGAGGCGTGCATTCTCATTGCCATGCTCATCTTCTTCCGCCTGCTTGCTTTGCTTATAGTGAAGCTCCGGCTGCAATCATGGCGGTGGTATCGTAATGGCCGCACATAAATATTAGAGTTGAATGAAGCCGCTTATATTGGTATTTAGGCTACGAGTACCTCTTATGTAGGCACACGTGCGACCATTGTTAGCCAGTTTGGGTTATGGTTGAAGCTAAAGCTTAGCTTCGTATGTGAAGATGGTGCTAACGGAGGCCCACAAACGAGTCTGCATCTCAATTGTTCCGTTGTTCTGTGGGGATGCCGTTACAATTCGGTTGTTTTGAGGTGCAGCCCCCTGGCGTGTTCCGGGAGTTTCAATTTGGCAGCCACTTTCACCCAGCCTGCTGGGCTACCTGGTCACGCGGTTGGCTGCTTGGGCCCAGCTGGCAAGGCAAGTGATCAAGTGGCAGCAGGCCTGACAGGTCATCTTCTTTCCACAGTGCCAGTTGACACGTAGTGTCGGTGGAACAGTTCTGAACTGTTCAGCTGTCGGCGCTGCACTTGCTGTGGCTGAAAGGACGCCTCAGGTTGCAACTTGTTGGAGGATCTCTCGCACAGCTGAGGTAACCACTTCGCAAACGCGAATCAGCCATCTGGCGTCAAATTTGACGTCCGCAATTTTTCTGACGGCTGCTAAAAGATCCCCATGCTTGTTGTTAGATACGTAACTGTGCTTATTTGGCGTTTATCGTTCTTCCCGTTGACAAAGGCGGGCAGCTAGCAAAGACCGCGGCATGAACAGCGTACGCGGTACAGTGCACACTGTCTTGTTTCTTCCGCGTGGTCGGTGCCTGCCCACCTGGTCACTCCTTCCTCGCACCCCCGGTGCCTGCGTTGCAACCAGACCAACCCCAAGTCCAACCGGGCCAGGCCAAGTCCTGCCCATCAAAGCAAGTCGAGTTTTCCTCCTGGCATCAGCCAAGGTCGCTCGCGAGGAGCAGCCAGCGGGGAAAGCAAGCCCAGCCCTGGGCAGCACGATTCCGCGTCGCAGGTTCTAGAGGAAACCGCGTTTTGGGACCTTCATGCGGACATGGCTCACTCTGTCACTCTACGGGCAGATTCTACGCTCCGCGTATCTATGGTTGGGGGGGGGGAAAGTAGTGAATCGTTTTCCCGCATGCCCTTTCCCCTACACCAGCTTTCCCCTCGCCTATCCCCTCCCCGATTTCTCCCCCCACTCCTCTCCCCTCCCCACTCTCTCCCCCTCTTCCTCCCCCTCTTCCTTCCACTCCACTCTTCCCCGTCCCCCAACCAAATCAAAACTCAAGCGTCACCGAACTTCCACCGCCCCATTTATCTTCGTTCCTCCTTCCTCTTTCGACCATCAGAGTTAGCGATCAATCGGTCAAACGTCCACTTCACTCAACCAGTCTGGTTTCTCCGAGCAAGGATCGGCAGGGATCGAGAGCAGCAAGCAGCAGCGAACTCAAGAATTCGCAAATCGAGAGCACGGAACACGTCTAACCCTAGAGACGTGCGTCACACTCTAAAAATGGCCAACACAATTTCAGGCATCCTCTCTTCAAACCCCCTCAAGCGCAAGACGTCACACACGTCTTGCCTCTCCCCCTCAAATGCTGCTGCTCTCCCTCCCTGCCTTTCCTCCGACTCGACCTCCTTCACCGGCTTCTTCTCTTCTTCCTCCGCCGCCGTCACCGCCGGGGCCGCCGACTCCGCCGCTCCGTCCCAGAATGAGCATCCGAACCAGCCCTCCGCTAAGCGCTACCGCGGCGTGCGTCAGCGGTCGTGGGGCAAGTGGGTGTGCGAGATCCGCGAGCCGCGCACGCGCGCTCGTGTTTGGCTCGGATCGTACAGCTCCGCGGAGGAGGCCGCGCGCGTCTACGACACCGCCGCTATCATGCTCCACGGCGCGCACGGTGCGGAGCGCCGGCTGAACTTCCCCCACGCTGCGGCGACCTCCTTCGAGGGTGGCATCCGCATGCGCCCCGTCGTGGTCTCCCGCGCAACGGCGGAGTCTCTCCTCCGCGCGGCGCGCAACCTCGCCGCGTCCGCGATCGGCGCGGAGTCGGCTGCAGCGGAAGCGGACGCGAAGACGTTCAATAGCGAGTGGGTGCAGCTGGAAATTGCGGGCGGTAACGTTCTCTTCGCAGAGTGCCCCGCGCCTGGACTCATCCCCGTTACTCCTCTTGCCCCCGCTCCCGCTGCCGCTCCCGCCGTAGCGCCGTCGGTCGCCGCTCCCGCCCCCGCGCCTGTCGCAAAGACCTCCCCTCCCCCTGTATCCACCGTCCCTTCTCTCTCTCCTTGCGATAACCTGCCCGTCGCACCGTTCTCCAGCGTCGCCGATGTCGCCGACGTCGCAGGCGTCGCCTGCTTCGGCAGCGACAACGACACCAGCTCCATTCTGGAGCTCCCAGAGCTCGATTGGCCAGAAATTGAGAAGTCCGAGTCGTCGCTCTTCGAGGACGCCTTGAATCTCTCCGACGAAGAGCTTTTCGGCTCCGCTTCCGCCTCCGCCTCCGCTTCCGCGTCTCCCTCCGCTTCGGTTTCCGCTTCCCCCTCCCGCGACTCCGCCTTCGCCTGGGAGTCCGAGTCCGCCGCCGCGCTCGACAGGCCCGTCCCGTTTTTCCCGCTCGAGGACGAGGGGATTCAGTTCGTGCCGTCTCCGCCGACCTTTCCGCCGGTGTTCCCCGCGCCTGTCGACGCGCCCTTGTCGCCGTCTTCCTCGTACGGCTGTGTGTCGCGCTCCGCCTCCGCCTCTAACGATGGCGCCGTCGGCTCGGCCTCTGCTGTTTCCGCGGGCTCCGCGGGGAACGCGCCGCAGCAGCAGCGCGCGGACGTGCTGGTGTCGCTGGTGCGCGAGCTGACGAGCATCACGGCGGTGCTGCAGCACCTGCAGAAGGAGCACCAGCTGCGGCTGATGCAGCAGCAGCAGGCGCAGGCGCAGATGCAGCAGTAGAGACCAGCAGCTGTAAACCGCTCTACGAGACTCCTCACCTTATCTACACCTCAAATGCCCTCATCTCTTTATATCCTCTATACCATCCCACCCTCCTACCCCCACTGGAATTCCTGACACCCTTTCTGGTGCGATCTCAGTTCTCTCTCCCCTTCGGAAGCTTTTCACTCCTATCCTCAGCCTCCTCCTCAACCCTGAAATCGGCTGCACTCGGGGAAGCCAGCCATCATGAAGGCCCTAAGCACCGTTTTTAATTAAGTGTGCCCAACAGGTCCTCATGATGATTGTCTTTCTTCCCGAAAGCCAACCTCCTGACGAACTCGAGGAGTTCGTATCCGACCTTCCTCCTCGGACCGTCCTCAAGCTCTTGTTCAACGGATCTCCCACTTGAAGTTGTCGGAAGTTCCTAAATTCCTGAACCTGATCCTGCTCCTCTCCTAATATATTTCTGAGTTGCCCTGTACTCATGGACTAAACCAGTCCTGCCCCTTTCTCCCCTCAGCGATGCCTTGCTAAATGGGTCTGCTGTACTTTGTTAGATACAGGGTGTATGTATCCTTTTTCAGTATATATCTGCATGTGAGCGGTCCGATTCATAATAATTCCCCATTCTCCCATGGAATCTAGTAAAGGAAATATACAACCAAAACAAGATCCCTTAATTACAATTTCTATGGTATGGTAGTCACTGTCTGAACCAAAATGATAAATTTTGAAAGTGTAATGAAATGTAACACTTTCTAAAATTTTGTATTGTGAAAAGGGGTACGTGGCCAGCACAGCAAAGGTAGCGCCGAAGCGCTACTCGCCCTCTTTTGCCTACAAAAGAGGGACGTGGGGACATTCGTCCCCACCCACGTTTTCATTTCTCAGTTTGTAGTTCTAATTTCCCACCCGCCCACCCATTTGTGTATGCTGTTACGTAGACCTATATAGGACGAGAACGATGTACTAGAACCCATATGAAATGATAACGCTGCCTTTGCAAGATGATCTAAGTACACTTTCACAATACAAGAACAACAATTTATCAACCCTATAGCATGTGCGCTTCTGAAGGCAAACCACAGTACGTTGAGTGACATTATCTGGCACAAATTGTGAACCGCAATAAATCTTGAGTTGATAAGGTCTCAGAACCAGCTCCAGCATGGTCTGTCTCTGTGTGACTTCCAGGCATGGCCCTCAAGGGATAGCTGTCGGCCAGGGGTTGTGAGGCACATGGCCAGTCAGGCATGACCTGTCAGTCACAGGGCTGTCAGGCACGGGCTGTCGGGCTTGGGCTGTCAGGCACGGGCTGTCGGGCTTGGGCTGTCAGGCTCGGGCTGTCAGGCACGGGCTGTCCGGCACGGGCTGTCAGCTAGTGAGCACTGATTCCTCTGGCTTCCCCAGGCACTCCTCAATTTCCTTCCAGTCTAAACTCGGCAGCGTTGGGAACTCTGCCGGCAGGCTCGGCAGCGACGGGAACTCCCCTGGCAGGCTCGGCAGTCGAGGCAGAGAGCCTGTTTGGTCCGGCGCTGCCTTGGAAAAGCTGGGCAGATTGAGAAGCGGTTGAGAGGAGAAACTGGGCAGGTCAAGAGGAGCCTGGGGGGAGACGCTTGGGGGCTGCTGCAAGGGCGCCCCCTTAGCTGTAGGAGATGACGTGTCCATGCTGTTTCTATCCGCGTTACTAGATCTGCAGTTAACAATATCGCTGTCCTCCTGTGCCAGCTCAGTGAAAAACGGGGCGAAAGAGGTGTACTCCATGCACGCGCTGTCGGAAACTGGAACTGCGGAATTGCTGCTGTTGTTGCTGGGGGGGAAAGCGGGGGAAGCAGCGAGAGCAGGGGATGCGGAAGCAGCTGTTGAAGATACGGGAGGGAAGTCTATGGCGGAATTACCAGTGGTCATCTGACCCGCAGTGGAAGCTGGGATATCATCAGCAGCGAGGATCTCGGTGGGCTCGGGGGACAGTTGCGCGCATAGGTGCGCGAAGGTGGGGTGCGCGAGCAGTGCGCGAGAGAGATCCGCCCCGCCAGCGTAATCGGCGGAAGCGGCGGGAGCGGCGGAAGCCGCGAACGCGGGCATTACGGAAGAAGCTGAGGCGCTAGTCGCGCGCGGGGAGGAAGGGGCGGTGGTTGCGGGGAAGGCGCGGGAGCCGCCAAACGACGGGCCGGGGAACTGCGGGGAGTGCAGCGGCGAGCGGGCGGGGGAGAGGAAGCGCGTCGGGCTGTGCCCCATTCCGCTCATAGGGCTTCCGGGGAGAGATAGGGCGGAGGAACGGCGGGAGGGCACGATTATTGGGGGACCGGCGGAAAAGGTGGGAGGCGCGTCGGAGAAGAGCGAGAGGGCAGCGGAGAAGGAACCTGCAGGCGCCGCGACGCGGCTGCTGACGAAATCCATCTCGGGCGCAACTTGCGACGCGGTTGTTGACGCAACGCCAGACACGCCAGCGGCGGCGCTTGGATCGGCGGCGGCGGTGGCATATGGAGCGGGGACGGCGCGTTTCGGCGAGATCTGGCCGTTCGCCGTCGGGGATTTGACGGACGACGCGTCTGGAAAGACGCCGCCGCGACCGGCGGCGGGAATGGCGGTGGTAGCGATCCCAGGGCTCGCGCAATCGGAGAAGACGACGTTGGAGCCGGAAACCTCGAGCCGCACCCACTCGCCGGTAAACGTGGGGCTAGCGTGAACCGTGGGGACAGATGCGGTGGCGCCAGTAGAGCGGCTGGCACTGGTTCCCCCAGCAGCGGTAGAGGCATCAACCATCATATCACTAGTACAGGATGGATTGCTCGAATCTTCTTGTTGGGATGGCGACTGTGCCGACTGCTGCGAAAGTGTCAGAGCGTTGACGACGCGGAGCAGACCTTCCGCTATAGTGCGCGACACTATAACAGGGCGGATTCCCCCGTCCGCTTGAAGAGCCTCGGGGAAGTTGAGTCGGCGCTCCGCGCCGCTCGCGCCGTGCAGCATCAGTGCGGCGGTGTCGTAGACGCGCGCGGCCTCCTCCGCGGTGCTGTACGATCCCAGCCAGACGCGCGCGCGCGTGCGCGGCTCGCGGATCTCGCAAACCCACTTGCCCCACGAGCGTTGCCGCACGCCGCGAAGGCGCTTGGTCGTTGGAGAGTCCAAGTCATAGCGGTTCGGGATTTCCGCGAATTTGCGTTTTAGATCAAGGTCGTGCGCTGCATTTGAATCCAGAGAAATCATAACGCACTGGCAAGAGGCCAATAAGGGGACTCGACGGGCTGCGAAATAACTAGAAAATCAAGTCGAAGAAAAACCTTGACTCACAATTTCGCAAAAACCCTCGTGAGGAGGTGGTCTCTGAATATTAACGTAAGGGCGACTCGTGCAGCTTTTTGTCGAATTGATGAATTAGGCTGTGTGGCTAGCTAGCGGCAAAGAAAGAGTGACTGTTGTAGATAAAATTACTCTTTTGTTGAACCGTACAGGTTTTCCACTTCTGGCTCGACTCCATCAATCTCTCGACTGTTGAACTCCACCCGACCGAAGCACGCGAGTTGCGTGATGATGAGGCTGGGTAGCGGAGCGGCGGCGACTGATACAGTATGGGTTTAGTGTGGGTGTGTACACCTGATGTCCATTTCGGTCTCGTTTTTCATCTTTCTCTGTGCTCTTCTTTCGAGCGCGCGCTCGCTACGGGGAGAATGGCGTGTCTTGTTTGGGAAACTCGAATAACTTATTCGAGGTCAAGAATATCTTAGTTTTGTCGTGGGCTAGTAACGCGCGGGCCGTTGGCAGTGAATGTCGACCACTGGGCTTATGTAGTGGCACTAAAATGTTTAGAATGGGCGGTTGAGTGAGCATCAGGGTGTATACCCACAATCTCGCGTACCCAGCCACCCTCTGCCCTACCTCAAGTCCCCCAACTAGCGTTGCCGAGCCTCACGTTGCCCAGCCTTGGAAAGGAGCCCCCTTACGCTGGCGTTTTGGTTGGCACAGGGCGACTTGTGCTGTTGGTTGGTTTGAGCCGCAGTTTTTGAAGAATCGGGTGGCAGAACAAGAGCCCAGCCTGACCAGACCAGGCAGATACTGTACGAGTACATGCACAGTAATCCTTCACTAGGAGCAAGGCTCTCGCAAGTTTCAGCTGCACTGCATACACTGTTTCATGATGTCTTCAACTATCAATTGGATGCACGAAATAGACCCACAACTACAAAAGGCATGAGTCATGCTGTCTATTCTGTTCTGTAGCATCACGCTGGGCAAAAAGGACGTATTTTCATGTCTTGGCCATGAATTAACTTGGCAAATGCTGTTGGACCTTCGGTAATGGTTACCAAAACTCCTCCTAGACCAATCAAGATGGCCAGAATGAAGATAATAATGGATGAACGACCTGCACATACGGTAAAAAGTGGCAGTAACCAAGTTAAGCTACATTGCTAGTTGCATATACAAGGTTACACGTGCAACCAAAATACATACCTGTGTTTCTCACAATTTTCCCAACAACGAAGACTCCAACTAGCGACCCAAGGAATGCCACAGGAGCAAACACAGCTGCATAGCTAGTGTTCAGAAAACCATGGAAGAAGAACGAGATGCTGATGGCACTGCTGCTGAAAAGGATCATGAAAACACTTGTCGAGGCCAAGATCTGCAATGCCAACAGACCCACTGTCAGACCCATGTAAATCAAATTGATAAAGCCTAACATTGTCAACACCTGTGGGTGAAGGCCGAGACTAAGGAGATATGGGTTGAAAATAAGTGCTCCTCCAATGCCCACCATCCCAGCCATAGCTCCAGCACATGCCATGATCACTGAGATCTGAAAAGATAGTTCCAAGGAGAGTCAAGGACGCACAAGCTGGAAAGAGATGCACACCTAAGCAAGAAGTTTACGTACCTTAAAAAAGCGGGAAATGCGGGAGCCTGATGAGAAAAGTCGAACAAGGTTTGGGCTCAGAGACGTAGGCCTGCATGTTGTAGGGTGCATGCGCAGCTGCATGAAAAAAAGTAAGCATGGCACAAAGCAATGGCCAGAAGTCACAAAGTGGAGATGTGAAGAAAATAGCAGCACTCTATGCCGAAAGGGCCTGCATTGCTCTACCTGTCCTTGAACAGTGCTAACTGCAGCAGCAATGCAGACGAATAGCTGCGACCCCCACAGCTGGAAGAAGGACGAGGAGCAGCGGCTAGCTTGACTAAGACCCCACTGAACAGCCATGAAAAGAGACCAAAGAACTGCAGGAAAAGAAGAGGCAATATATTTGAAATAGAGGTTCTCACAAATCTCTAAAGTACTCGAGGAAACCGGTGGAACATACCAAGCGTGTAGAGAAATGGCATTGCCACCTGGTGGATGTGCGAAAAAAGCTGATTTCCTGAATCGCTCAAATAATGCTGCATCCACTTCCAGTGGCGGTTGAAGAACTGCGAAATCTCACATCCAACCACTGAAAGGAAATTCGCTCCCTCACATGATTCTGGAACGTCAAACATAACTTGCTGCTGGCCCGATTCGTCTGGGATCACAAATGACACAGGCAGAAGTCCCTCGGCAGCAGCAGTATGTGCAACCCTCTGCAAGTGCAATGACCAAATGCTCTTCAAGGCACGAAAGTTTCAGGCAAAGCATGATAGCTCAACGAACTACAAGTACCAACCTTTCTTTCTGACTCTTTCTTCCATGACCTTCGTGCTCGTGCATACGTCTTATGTACAACGAAAAGAAGCAGAATCAGTAACCCGAGTAGCTGAATCCAGTGAGGAAGAGTTGGGCTGATTAGAACTCCAATTCCAACTCCAAAAAGGAGAGACGGGAGCAATGCCAGTGCAAGTCTCAAGTCAACCAGTGGCATGGACGGAACTTCAGGGCTCGACTCCCATAGTCCATAGAGAGTACTCGCAATTGCACTGAACGCAAATCACAAAGGCTTCAGAAGAAGAAAAATAAAAAGCAATAATATTATTAACAGAAAAACACACACACACACACACACACACACACACACACACACACACACACACACACACACACACACACACACACACACACACACACACACACACACACACACACACACACCACACACACACACACACACACACACACACACACACACACACACACACACACACACACACACACACACACACACACACACACACACACACACACACACACACACACACACACACACACACACACACACACACACACACACACACACACCACACACACACACACACACACACACACACACACACACACACACACACACACACACACACACACACACACACACACACACACACACACACACACACACACACACACACACACACACACACATTCGACTAATGGGGAACGTGAGCGTTAACAAGAAATAATAGAACAGTTGACGAATCCTGACCTTGATGTCACGACGGTATGAGAAAGGGCAGTGGACTTGACAAGATTGAATTTCAGAACCGAGTGGAACAGCGGCATGTAGAAAGGACCCCCTCCCACGCCAGCTGAGTTCGCAAGCGATGCGCACTGCGCTACCCCAGGAGGCAGATAATTATCAGAATCTCGGACGAGGTGAGACATGATAATCTGGATTCATCCGTGATAGAACAACTTGGGGTTCTGCCGTCGCAGGACGTAGGGGACTCACCAAGGCTACCAGGATCACGGAAGCGTAGGTCCGGGTATTCCACTCGAACGGCTCAGGTCCGGAATCATCGACGAGAAGACGATAATTGTGGTGGAGGGTCACTAAGAAATCCATGATCGTCGGAGTTTACGAAACTCGGGGCAAATTTATCCTGGGAAATGAGCTGCTTCACAGCACTCAAACCAATGGCCACGATAATGACCTAAATTCCTTTCTACATCAGCCACTGATCTTGCTGAGATGATTATTACCAACGTGCTCTTAGCGTGACGATGACAGTCCATGCTAAAACACCTGCCAGACGTGGCCTTGCAGCCAGGGGAGGCAGGAGAAAGCAGGAAATAAGGAGAGCACAGTGGTCCCCCTTCCTCGCGTCCGTCGCAATGCCGAGGGTAGCATGCAATTAGACACGTAATGATCAGCCTGATATGATGAGTCGAAAACGTATGGCGCGACCTCGCCATTGACGTGTTGCGGTGCGACCCTGCCTTCTGCAAGCGATAGTCGCGAATGAGATTGTTGAAAGTGGTAGGAAGGAGAAAAATTTGCACATACGCGATATAATGTCAACATTTATCCAGCGTGCAAAACACCAGCTCACCTGTACTTGGCGCACACAGCAGGATAGAATGGATACATTGAAATATGACAAGTGTATTCATGAATTGCGACTATGACGGACCTCGTGCCAGATACAATACAGGGTCTCAAACATATCCTCATCAGGCACTTCGCCACTGCAAGCACCAGAGGCAGTGACTCCTTGCAGCGTGTGCACCCATGAACGCTCCAGATCAAGCAATGTGCTTGCTGCAATCGGCTCGGGATTGTCAAACTTATCGCTCAGCTCATGCTCAAGAGCCGAAGCTGCTCGTGCTGCATTCGCCACCACGCGAGATGGAATCCCAGCCATAGAAGCTACTTTTAACCCATAGCTTTTCGGACAGGCACCAGATTGCAACTTGTACAAGAAGACAAGCTCTTCGTCCTCTTCCCCATCGCCGCCCTTGTGTGCCTGCACTTGGCATGCCATGTGTCGCAGCATGATTTGTGGATGGCCCGCAAACTCGGATGTGAGGGGATGGTAGTGTGTGGCGAATAGAAGCCGGCAGTCAAGGCGCGAGGTGAGGTAGTTCAACACCTGGTGGGGGAAACAGCAGATTGGAAAGCGGAGTTGCTACTGATATACACAAGATGGGGTACTACAATACTTGGAGAAAAGCGCACAAGAAAGAGTTAAGATTATCACAGCAGAAAACAGCAACACTGTCCGACATCTAAGGAACGCCACAACACGTTCCGCATGTGCGATGGTGTATCCGCCGAAAGTGGACGCCCCCCTGCCCAGCTCTTTAAGAATGACACGAGAGTCCCTTTTGAGGCGCCTAAATGGGAATCTCAAAAGTCCTTGCCACGTACCGCATGTGCGATGGCGTATCCATCGAAGGTGAACGTGCCCCTGCCCAGCTCGTCCAGAATGACAAGAGAGTCCCTTTTGAGGCGCCTAAATGGGAATCTCAAAAGTCCATGCCACGTACCGCATGTGCGATGGCGTATCCATCGAAGGTGGACGTGCCCCTGCCCAGCTCGTCCAGAATGACAAGAGAGTCCTTTGTGGCACACCGCAGTACTGCTGCTGCCTCCCTGCACTCCACCATGAACGTACCTGGTGGGGCAAAGCAGTAGGAGGTGGGGTGAAGAAAAGGGAGAATGGTGGGTGGGTGAGCTGACTTTTGACTCGACTCAAAAATGGTGGGTGAGTGAGCTGACTTTTGACTCGACTCAAAAATGGTGGGTGCAGCTGACTCTTGAGTCGACTCAAAAATGGTGGGTGAGTGAGCTGAATCTTGAGTCGACTAAAAAATGGTGGGTGAGTGAGCTGACTCTTGAGTCGACTAAAAAATGGTGGGTGAGTGAGCTGACTTTTGAGTCGACTAAAAAATGGTGGGTGAGTGAGCTGACTCTTGAGTCGACTCAAAAATGGTGGGTGAGTGAGCTGACTCTTGAGTCGACTCAAAAATGGTGGGTGAGTGAGCTGACTTTTGAGTCGACTCAAAAATGGTGGGTGAGTGAGCTGACTCTTGAGTCGACTCAAAAATGGTGGGTGAGTGAGCTGACTTTTGAGTCGACTCAAAAATGGTGGGTGAGTGAGCTGACTCTTGAGTCGACTCAAAATTGGTGGGTGAGTGAGCTGACTCTTGAGTCGACTCAAAAATGGTGGGTGAGTGAGCTGACTCTTGAGTCGACTCAAAATGGTGGGTGAGTGAGCTGACTTTTGAGTCGACTCAAAAATGGTGGGTGAGTGAGCTGACTTTTGAGTCGACTCAAAAATGGTGGGTGAGTGAGCTGACTTTTGAGTCGACTCAAAAATGGTGGGTGAGTGAGCTGACTCTTGAGTCGACTCAAAAATGGTGGGTGAGTGAGCTGACTTTTGAGTCGACTCAAAAATGGTGGGTGAGTGAGCTGACTTTTGAGTCGACTCAAAAATGGTGGGTGAGTGAGCTGACTCTTGAGTCGACTCAAAAATGGTGGGTGAGTGAGCTAAAAGTTCCAAGGCAGCACTACTGCTGCCTCCCTGCATTCCACCATGAACGTGCCTGGTGGGGAAGGGGGATGATGAAAGTGGGGGGAAGGGGGACAAGGGGGAAGAGGGGAGAGAATGATGAGAAAACAAGTGACTCCTCTAAGGCAACACTGCTGCTGCCTCCCTGCACTCCACCATGAATGTGACTGGTGGGGGAAGGGGAGGGGAAGGGGAGGGGAAGAGGAGGGGGAAGGGAGGGGAAGAGGAGGGAAAGGGGAGGGGAAGGGGAGAGGAAGGGAGGGGAAGGGCAGAGGGAAGAGGGGTGGGAATGGCAGGGAGCTAAGTTACTTCCAGTCAACCCAACAGGCAGCACTACTGCTGCCTCCCTGTCCACCATGAACGTGCCTGGTGGGGGAAGGCGATGAGAAGGGGAGGGGAAGGGGATGAAGGCAGGGTGAGAATGACAGGGAGTTAAGTTAACCCAACAGGCAGCACTGCTGCTGCCTCCCTGCACTCCACCATGAACGTGCCTGGTGGGGGAAGGAAGGGGATAGGAGGGAAGTGGGGGGATGAATGAGAGGAGGGATGGGACTTCTCCAAGAACACCGGCTCTAATTGAAAAGAGAAGGAGGGATGGTACAGATGTCCACTTCTTAGAGATTACAGAAGGGATTTCCACCTCTTACTTCTCCACTTCCGAAGCTGGCCCCCATTCCCCGAAGAAAAAGCAGATTTGCTCCTGCACGAGATAAATCAGTTGAATGCCTGGACTTAATTTCGCTAGTCCCTCTCTTCTCCACCCCCGACCACCACCCCCCTCCCAAACGGAAACAGCACTCACTCTCCCCAGAGATGATTCGGTCAGATCTTTTGAGGCACCTCAAAAGTCGCACTCCACCCCCCACCCCACCCCTCCCAAAAGCAGAGCACCACTTACTCAGCTGACTTTTGAGTCGACTCAAAAGGCACCTCAAAAGTCGCACCCCCCACCCCCCCCTTCCCAAAAACAAAACACCACTCACTCTCCCCGGAGATGATTCGATCAGATGCGCCGAGTCTTGTGAAGATGACGTCAGCAGGGGAGAGCACGAGGGAGGAGCAGGGCGTGTAGCATCCCATCTGGTGGAAGGAGGGAGATGGGGATCGCGGTTGGGATCGAGATTCGATAAAATTGAAGGAAGTTTTTTTAGATGTCAGGGCGTGTAGCATCCCATCTGGTGGAAGGAGGGAGGTGGGGACCGCAGTTGGGATCGAGATTAGATACTGGGGGAAGGTTTTTGAGACGCCTTTTTAGTCGTCTCAACACAGGGGGCGTAGCATCCCATCTGGTGGAAGGAGGGAGGAGGGGATCGCAGATGGGATTGAGATTCGATAAAACTGGGGGATGTTTTTTCAGACGTGTTTTTAGACGTATTTTTAGATGTCTCAAAAGCAGGGCGCATAGCGGTTGGGATTGAGATTAGATAAAACTGGGGGAAGGTGGTTTTTGAGACGAGACGACTCGACTCGACAGCCATAACTGATGAGCCAGACTGAAAAAGGATTCTTATGAAGAACAATGCACCCACCTTTCTCACGCTGCATTTCCAGAACGTTTTCAACAACTGGTAGAAGGAAGGTGGAACTGGACTGAAGCGTGGTGCAGCGAGGGCTCATGCAGCAATGGACCGAAAAGGCATGAGACTAGGGTAAGAGCTGAGAGAGCACCTGAGCCATGATGACAGCGACACAGGTAGCGCGTAGCAGAGTGGACTTCCCCCCCATGTTGGGCCCTGTCAGCAGCATTGTACGCGCATGCACTCCTGCTTCTGCGGCTGGTTGTGATATTCCTGATAAGGAGCTGTCAGGCGCGCCCCCCAGGAGCAGGTCGTTGGGAACCACCACACCACCACCGGCGCCCACAGCAAACGGGTGCCACAGGCCCCGCGCATGGAACGTGCTCCCTCCCCCTGACCCGCTTCCCTTCCCTCCCCTTCTTCCTTCCCCCTCTCCCACTCCTCCTCCTCCCTCTGCTGCCACAAACGTGGGGCGGCACATTGGCCCACCACCACCACCGCTACCACCAGCACCGCCAGCAGCGCCAGCAGCGGCATCAGCAAAGGCAAGGAGGACGTCAAAGCGGGCGAGGGAGTCGGAGAGGAGCGAGCACAAGGGGAGGAGCGGGGAGAGCCGTGCCAGGAGGGCAGACAGCACACGCGCCTCTGCTGCCACAGCCTCATCCAGATGACTGCTGCTACCGTTGCTGCTGTTGATCTTGCCGCTGCTCCTGTTCAGGTTCCTGCTGTTTCCTGTCCCAGCCCTCTTGACATTTGTCACCAGGTTCACAACACTGTCATCTGGGGCCACCAGACGAGGAGAGCTGCTGCTGTTGCTGCTAGTGTTGTTGCTGCTGCTGCCCCTCGCCCCGCCGCTGCCTCTCCCCTTCCCAGCTGCTGCACCGCCCTTCCCCTGGGCAGCCGTTGGCCACACGATGAACTCCTCTATCTCATCCAATACTGCCAACGCACGCCGCCCGCTCATCTCCTCCATGCCGTTCGTCCTTGCCCCTGAATGAGAGGGATGAACCGTGTTTGAACGACCCCTCTCGTCTTCCCAACCATGTTTGCTGTAACTGTTATTCACACGGCGGCTCCTCTTTCCAGCCCCTTCTCCTCCTCCCCCCTCCTCCTCACCATCCTCCTCCTCCTCTTCCTCTTCCTGGCCACTCTCCCTGCTGTCAGCAGAAGCAGCAGCAGGAGCCAATCGCATGATGCCACGTAGGATGGCAGAACGGAAGGCGACGGGCTCTCCAGTGAGAGTTCCAGTGCGGAGGGAGTCGAGGAAGAGCAGGGCTGCTCGCACCCCTCGCACTGCAGCACAGAACTGGGAGACCTGGGAGAGGATAAAGGAAATATGAAGGATAAAGGAGGGAATGGGGCAGTTTGAGGAGCCTTATAACTCCGTTGCAGAGGATATCGGGAAAGAGGTGGGCTGCATGCACTCCACTCCACGCACTGCAGAGTGCGAGAGTGGGGTGGAGTTGGGTTAAGAGTCACCCCACTCCACGCACTGCAGAGTGCGAGAGTGGGGTGGAGTTGGGTTAAGAGTCGCCCCACTCCACGCACTGCAGAGTGCGAGAGTGGGGTGGAGTTGGGTTAAGAGTCGCCCCACTCCACGCACTGCAGAGTGCGAGAGTGGGGTGGAGTTGGGTTAAGAGTCACCCCACTCCACGCACTGCAGAGTGCGAGAGTGGGGTGGAGTTGGGTTAAGAGTCACCCCACTCCACGCACTGCAGAGTGCGAGAGTAGGGTGGAGTTGGGTTAAGAGTCGCCCCACTCCACGCACTGCAGAGTGCGAGAGTGGGGTGGGGTTGGGTTAAGAGTCACCCCACTCCACGCACTGCAGAGTAAAAATGGGTGACTCGAAAGAGCAAGAGAGGACGATGGGATGGGATGAGACTCGAGCCGTCACAAGTCCATGGACGAGCAAAGATGGGTGGGTGTGATCGTGGGTGCTTTCACCTGCTTTCTCAGTGGCCGCTCTGCCATTTGCCCAGACAGCGCCTCTAGAGCGGACCTGAATGAATTCTGAGTCGACTCAAAAGTCACCGCGAGTGCTTTCACCTGCTTCCTCAGCAGTTGCCCTTTGACCTTCAGCAGCGCCTCTAGAGAACACCTTAATCCCCCCACCTCCACCTCCCCAAACCCCACCCCAGCAAGTGCAGTGCAGGGTGAATTTTGCACAAACCAGCATTCCCATGAGTGTGCACCCACAATTTTGCACAAACCAGCATTCCCATGAGTGTGCGCCCACAATTTTGCACAAACCAGCATTCCCATGAGTGTGCGCCCACAATTTTGCACAAACCAGCATTCCCATGAGTGTGCGCCCACAATTTTGCACAAACCAGCATTCCCATGAGTGTGCGCCCACAATTTTGCACAAACCAGCATTCCCATGAGTGTGCGCCCACAATTTTGCACAAACCAGCATTCCTATGAGTGTGCGCCCACAATTTTGCACAAACCAGCATTCCCATGAGTGTGCGCCCACAATTTTGCACAAACCAGCATTCCCATGAGTGTGCGCCCACAATTTTGCACAAACCAGCATTCCCATGAGTGTGCGCCCACAATTTTGCACAAACCAGCATTCCCATGAGTGTGCGCCCACAATTTTGCACAAACCAGCATTCCCATGAGTGTGCGCCCACAATTTTGCACAAACCAGCATTCCCATGAGTGTGCGCCCACAATTTTGCACAAACCAGCATTCCCATGAGTGTGCGCCCACAATTTTGCACAAACCAGCATTCCCATGAGTGTGCCTCCACACCTGCTTCCCCAGCAGCTGTTCTGAGGTGACTTTTGAGTCGACTCAAAAGTCAAGTGCAGGGTGGATTTTGCCCATGCCAACATCCCCATGAGTGTGTCTCCTCACCTGCTTTCTCAGCAGCTGTTCCGCCATTGGTCCAGGCAACGCCTCCAAAGCACCACTTAACCCCCCCCATTCCACATCCCCTCCTCCTGACCCTCCTCTCCCATCCACCCTCCCTCTGGCCCTCGCCCAATTCCCTTCATTTCCAACTTCTCCCTCTCCACCCCCTCCTCCCCCGCCTTTAGCCTGTGCCCCCATCAATCTCATTCGACCAATCAGGCGCTCCAGATCCGGCAACCGCCTCATCGCCGCCCGGATTTCTCCCCGCGCGTGTGCTGCTGACGTGGCGGATGAGAGTGCTGACGTGGCGAGCGACGAGCCCGCCAGCTCATCGACGGCGTCCAGCCGGCGCTCGATCTCACGGATGGAGCGCAGCGGGTGGCAGATCCAACGGCGGAGAAGGCGCTTGCCTGCTGACGTGGCACATGTATCCAGAAAGCCCAGAAGTGTGCCTGTGCGTTTGGGGATGGTGAAGGGGGTGAGTGAGGGAAGGCAGGCAGGCAGGAGGGGAGAAAGGGAGAGGAGGACAGGAGGAGGGTAGGAGGAAAGGTGGGGGAGGAGAGGAGGAAAGGACGGGAGGACAGGAGGAGGGTAGGAGGAAAGGTGGGGGAGGAGAGGAGGGGAGGACGGGAGGACAGGAGGAGGGTAGGAGGAAAGGTGGGGGAGGAGAGGAGGGTGAGTGAGAAAGACTAGGTTGTTGAAGGTATCAAGAGCAGATGCAACGTGCCTGCGTGGAGACGATTCAAGGGTTGAGAGGGCGTGATTACTCTCACGAGTCCCCTTGATGCCTTGAATTGGCTTGTGAGAATTCTCAAAAACCAACGAGAGGGCGTGAATACTGTCACAAGTCCCCTTAATGCCTTGAATGTGCAAGAGCCCACCCTGTGAGCTGCCATTGTGTGTGTTGCCGAGCAGCTCCAAATTGCTGAGTGTCTGGCCGTCCAGAGAAGAAACAACCTTGTGAGGCAATATTAGAGAGCTCGCCCTGACAAGTAACCTTTATGCCTTGAGACCTCACCCTGCGTGCTGCCATTGTGCGTGTTGCTGAGCAGCTCCAGGTTGCTGAGAGTCTGGCCGTCCAGACGCAGCGAACCCGAGAAGACGGAGTAGGGGCGCAGGGCGAGCGAGGCGAGCACAGCCGGGCTCCACTGGTGGGGAAGAGAGTAAGGACGGGGGAGGGGAGGGTAGAGAGGGGAGGGGAGAGTAGAGAGGGGTAAGGGCGCAGGGCGAGCGAGGCGAGCACAGCCGGGCTCTGGTGGGGAAGAGAGTAAGGACGGGGTTGCAGGAGGGAAGGGAGAGCAGAGAGGGGTAAGGGCGCAGGGCGAGCGAGGCAAGCACAGCCGGGCTCCACTGGTGGGGGAGGGGAGGGTGGCAGCGTGGCAGGAGGAAACCCAAAAAACAACACGGATGAAGGGAGGAAACGTTGAGAAAGGAGGGAGAGGGAATGGCTGCCTAGCGTGACAAGAGCAACTGTTGTTTCTGAGGCGCCTCAGAAATAGATTGCCCACCTTGAGTCGCTCCAGATGGCTTCCCAATGCCACAAGAGCTGCTGCTGCTACCTCTGCTTCCTCCTCTGCCCCTCCCACCAGCAACCGCACTAGAGAATCCGCCCCCCTCCCATGGGATGGCTCTTTCTCTGGGGAATCTTGCGCGGTTCCGAAGCCATATGATTTTAGCCGAGCTACCGCTGCTTTAGGTTCTGGAAACTCCGAGCCTGGTGCCAGGGCTGTCAGCTGCATTGGAAGGATTCCTGGGCCTGAGCTCCTTCGCAGAAGCTTCCTCGTGTCGGTGGAAAGACCTGGCGAAGAGGGTTATGTACGCACGTAGCACAATTGCGTTTAAGCCAAGAGAAAAAAACCATCACCCGTTGGTTTGACACAACTAGCCGTCTCACTTGCACTAACCAAGACGTGCATTTGAGAAAAAAGGATACGTAGCTCTTGAAGCGACAAGATCGCGCGGGCAGGACCAGCAGCAGCAGTAAGTACGTCACAAGCAGGCAGGGAGATGGAGCGGGGTGCACATACCATCAAGCTCGAACAGCAGCTCTTGAGGGGCCACCTGATGGCAGAGAGGAGGCGACAAGGAGACGCAGGGAGGGGCAAGAACAGCATGAGAGCATTAGAGGGAAGGGAGATGGAGCAGGGAGTTCATGTACCGTCGAGCTAGAACAGCAGCTCCTGAGGGGCCGCCTGATGGCAGAGAGGGGAGGGGATGGAAAGACAGGCGGGCCAGGCGAAGGAAGAGAGGAGGAAACGAATGAGGCATGCAAAGGGAAGTTTAACACGCACACAGTGACTGGAACGGAAGCAGGGAGGGGTTGGACGAGTAGAGGCACAAGTTTGCCTGTTGAACAGAACGCAGAGGAGAGCGTACATAGGTGCAGGAGTAAAGGAGGTGTAGGGAGGGACAGGGACCAGACTGAAAGGCACAGCCCCACTAGGATGGGAAGGATGATAGCCTATGCACTGCACCTGGACGAGGAGCGCTGAGTGGAAAAGAGGCCCAGTGATAGTGCAGAGCATCTGGACACAAGACATAAGAGGTCCATCACATGCACTGCACCTGGACGAGGAGCGCTGAGAGGGCGGAGCGGGAGGAGTCGTCCCGCATGGCACCCACGTAGACGTTGCCGCCCGCCACGTCAGCAAATGCAAAGCCAACGAGGATAGACCCAGAAGCAACACTGGTCGGGGTGCCTAGGGGAGTTCCGTTAGGGCTGCTGCTGCTAATGATGTTGTCGATGCTGGCGGTGCTGTTGCTGGTCGTGCTGTTGCTGGTCGCATATTCTGTGATGACCTGAAAAGAGATGACCGTGTGCAAGGAGGGGCTTGGCTTTCAGGCAACTGAAAGTTCCTCTCCAATGAATGATTCGGGGTTTTCTCTGCTAATGGGACATGGAATGGGCATCCATCAGGGCCGGTTACTGGTCTCGAAAGTTGACACGCCTAACAAGAATACACTTGTGCTTGAAAAGCATTCACAAGGGCTTGAAAAGCATTCACAAGGGCTTGAAAAGCATTCACAAGGGCTTGAAAAGCATTCCCAAGGGCTTGAAAAGCATTCCCAAGGGCTTGAAAAGCATTCTCAAGGGCTTGAAAAGCATTCACAAGGGCTTGAAAAGCATTCACAAGGGCTTGAAAAGCATTCACAAGGGCTTGAAAAGCATTCACAAGGGCTTGAAAAGCATTCACAAGGGCTTGAAAAGCGTTCCCAAGGGCTTGAAAAGCATTCCCAAGGGCTTGAAAAGCATTCCCAAGGGCTTGAAAAGCATTCCCAAGGGCTTGAAAAGCATTCTCAAGGGCTTGAAAAGCATTCACAAGGGCTTGAAAAGCATTCACAAGGGCTTGAAAAGCACACAGGGCGCAGAGCGGCTCACCTCTTTGATTGCCAGCAAATGCACGGCTTCGGGCCTAAGCGACCCCTCTGTGAGGGTTGCTGGGGAGAGTATCTGCATGAGCTGGCGCTGCACCATCTGCAATGCACGTGAACAAGATAGAATTGTGGTAGAAGCGATGCCGTTTATGGAACAAAACATGGCTGTGCATGTGCCTGTGCACACATGCACAGTTTATTCTGCCTTGCCCACATAAACCACACCCTTGAAGAACTACAGTTGCGCCGATGAATGGATACAGTTACAACCGCGAATTGATAGCAGGTACGCCTGTCGATGAGTTGCATTCGCGAAAGCATAGAGCCACATTCATGAACGAATACAGTCACACACACAATTAAATATTCACAATCATGAATGGATAGTCACATCCAGGAATCCGTACACTCACATACAATCACATACACTCACATACAGTCACATACCGCTCCTGGCCCCCTCTTCGCCTTGGCCTCCTCGCTGCTCTCCAGCTGCTCCATGCGCCCCACCTTGTAGCTGCGGGAGAGGGAGAGGAGCAGAGGGGGAGAAGGAGGATGGGAGGGGAGAGGGATAGGAGAGTAGCAGAGAAGGTGAGGAGGGAGAGGAGGAAGATGATGAGGACAACAGACACCAGGCTCGTGTCACCACGAATGAAAGAGAGTGAATGGACATGGAGCGGGAAGGTTACAACCTTTCAGGTGATTATAGGTGGCCATGTGACTTTTGAGGCGCCACAAAAGGCTTTTCTTTGAAAATCTCAAAAGCTGCCGGCACCTCAAAAGGGAGTGCTTTATCATGGAAAGGGGGCGTTTTATCGAAAGAGTGGAGTTACAAACAGTATGCCACTCTGGCATAAAACAGCACGCCAGGGCGCGTTTTTATGGAACGAATGAGAGGGGAAAGAGGGGCTCACCCTCTGGCTACGAGCTTCTGAACGGCGTCCTCTATGCCACTCTCGGGCACTCCCACCTGCAAGAATCGGGGGAGTGGGAGGGAGAATAGAGGGTAACATTATCTGGTGCATAGATCTGCAGTGGATGGCACTTGACGTGCGTTCCTGAGTAGATGCAATGCAACAAAGAAAAAGCATGTGGGAACACGAGTTGGAATCATGAGCCATAAGGAGCACATACAGACCCTAAGACACTTTCTCACCTGGCGGCACTTGCCGACGCCGCTGACAGTGAGCTTCCAGTCGAGCTCCTTGTGGCCCACCTCAGCGTCCACCTCGTACAGCTCGTAGAACTTGCCCTGTAGGATCATGACACGTGGCAGGGAGGCAAAAGAACTTGCAAAACATCCACAATCCAAAGCATCACACGCGGCAGGGATCTTCAAAACTCACAAATGGGATGGAGTGAAAAAAGAAAAGAAAAGAAGAAGAAGAAAAAAAACATAAACACCTACCACTTTGAAGAAGAGAATGGTGTCCATGTAGCGACTTTTTGTGCCCCAGTACTGCTTCTGTGACGCTGACAGCTTGTCGAAGATCGCACGTGGAATGGTTACACTTCGCGAATCGTACCCTGGCTCGCCAGGCCTCCTCCCCTTCCCGTCCTGAATATTCTCGGGCAGCAGCCACTCAAATTTCGACCGGGCTTCGGCCCACATGCTGGCATTTTTATCCTGTCCGCCGTCCAGATCGTCGGCTCCCAATGCCCGAAGAAACTCCGCCCGTCTGGATTGATCAGGTTGTGATACACCAGATTGTGACAAAAACGAGGGTTTCGCAACCCTCTGAGATGCTCCGCCTGCAGGCCACTCAGGCTGACTCGCGGAGGCGAACTTTTTCCCCTGAAACGAATTAATCCCCTCGCCGTAGTCACTCTCATTGTCGTCAACATCTGCATCGTCCCTCGCTCTCTTGCCTCTCGGTACGCATGGCTTGATCCCAGGAGTCAGGGGAGTGAAATGCGGCCGTGGACTGAAACTACCTCGACCGTTCCCAGCACGCGCCGTTGCTGAGGGACGTCCGAAAGTGTTTGCACCGTCACCAGTGGTACCGTTGTTGCCAATCGCGGTGCCAGGTGCGCCGAGCTCCTTCTGGCGCGGATCAGGAGAATACCCCGTTATACGCTGACTCGTTGGAGGCTTATTCAGGGACGGCTGATCGGCCGTCACTCGCCGTTTCGGCTCCGTCCCCTCGTTCGCGCAGTTGAATGCGTGCGGGTTGCGTGGAGCCTTGGACGGACTGTTATCGAAGACCGCTTTAGCGGGAACATTACTCGAGCCCCATGGACCTTGGCTGCTTGCTGGAGAGTTTTGAGTCGACACGAGCGGCTGTGATGACAACGGGTTAGAGGAGTTTTCTCTCTTGGAGTAGAATCTCCACAGGGAGCGCTGAGCCATGGTAGCGTCGAGTATGCGGTGATCCTGGACTCGCTAGACGCTTATGAGCTTAACGCGATGTTGATTTTCCCGTGAAACATACGAATACATAAAATGAACAAGCCAAGAGTTAAGGAGCTCGTAAGCTTCCAGAATTCGAGGCTACTGCTTTTGAAAGCGCTCAATTGAGCAGGTGACGATGAGACCGAAGATCAGAGAGGCGTCATGAGGAAGACACCCATCTTATGCGCTTTGAATCAAGAGTAGGAAAGTTCCAACTTGGATAGTGGATATGAGGAGCGTCACTTGAGCAGGTGTTGGTGCTGAAGAATTGTGCAGAACAACATGAGGCTGCTCGACGCGAAACGGACAGCTGATTGGTTGAGAACGGCTGCTCGTTTGAACGTTCAAAATCTGGCAGGAATCAATTTTCCGAAACACGAAGCAATCCGACAAATAATAATGCATTCTTTGCATATTCCGACTTTGAAATGTACAGTAGCGCGGCTGACTAAAGCGCAGACAATAGTTGTAGCTGGTAGTTTCATCCATCCCCCTGCTCATCCCTCTGACGGGATACAGGTGATGCCAAAGCTACCACCTACCAACCAATGCCAGGCAGGAAAACCAGTCGCCTAGTCCAGAGCCGCATTTCACGCGATTGGTCTAGGTCATAGACGAGACTAGAAGCTGGGTTGTTTCTAGAATAATTCAATAATTCAGGTTGCTGCATTTCGGTTTCAGGCAGCCGAGATGGCATTCGTCGCAATGATTTGCGCCTTGTGCTCCAAGACACGGTTTCTGTTTTCTAAATCATAAAAATCTGCGGCATTCTCTTCCTTAGAAGTGTATGAAATCTGCGGCTCGCCGTTCTACACTAGGCTGACGTCAGGACCATCCGCGACCACACGTTAGCGAACCGCTTCCCCGAGATTCACGCAATGCGGTCGTCGTCGGGCCGCGCGAATGCGGGAGCAGCCGGGATGGGCTTCACGTCGCCGCGCGACGCCGACGCCGCCGAGGCGCGTCGTCTCCAACGCGCGGCGCTGTTGCAAGCGCGCGGCGGGCCCAACTCCATGGAGAAGCAATTCCTGCGCTTTATATCGGGTACTAAACATCCGCGCATTCCCTGCATTTGGCATTCCTATTTCGGGTACCAGGCATTCCTGCACGTTACTTCTGCATCGTCTAGCTAATGCACTTTGACTCACCTAACCACAATACAGCACTTGTCATAATTCTCACCGAAACCTACTCTCCCCCTCCCCCGCCCCCTCTACCCTCCAACCTTCCCCATCCTCCCCCTCTCCCCTCCTCTTTCCCGCCTCTGGACGCCAGCCGGAACCTTCCTGGATTCTGCCACCCTGAGCTCCGTCGCGCCCATCCTCCCGGGCTACGCGCGCCGCTTCGGCCTGACCCAGCACGCCGTCACGCTGCTCCTCGCGGCGCGCAACGTCACGTCCGTTCTCGCGTCGCTCCCCATAGGCGTCCTCCTCCTCTTAATCTCCGTCCCCACCATCTTCGCCGCGACCTTCTCTCTCTCCACCCTCGCCTCTCTCTCCCTCGCGTTTCCCCTCGCCGGGGCAGGCTCGCTCGCGGCTGCCCTGGTGCTTCAGGGCGTCGCCACCCAATCCGTGCGCAGCGTCGGGCTTTTTTTCGCTGCCCGGGTTTGCGGGTCAGGCGCGTCATTGGACGAGGTGGTGGATCAGCTCGCGCAGAAGGGCAGCGAGGGGTTGCACAAACTTTTGGGCTCGGGCAGGCTGTGGACTGCCCGGGGCAGGACGTCGTTAAGTTATGGTTTGGTGGGGGATGGGAGGAGAGGAACGAGCAGTCTTAGCGGTATCAGCAACACTCCTTACGAACGCCTCACCCCTTCCCAGCAGCAGCAGGAGCAGCAGGAGCAGGAGGAGCAGGAGGAGGAGGAGCAGCAGCAGGAAATAGAGGGACAGGGATGGAGGGAGTTTTCAGGAGGGAGAGAAGCTGGATTAAGTGAGAGAGAGACACAGATTAGAGGGAGAGGGAGAGGTAGAGGTAGAGGAAGGGGGAGAAGGGGAGGGAGAGGAGTGAGAGGTGAGCGAAGAGCACAAGTCGGTGGAATTGGTGCTCCAGGCTCGGCCGGAGCAGCAGGAGGAGGAGGTTCGGCATCCGAAGGTCTCTTTGTGGTTCGGAGCGGCGACCAGGTGTTCAGATCCGCAGCAGCAGACTACTCCCTCACAGGCACGCACTTCCCCACCGCCTTTGCCGACGGCATGGACGGCACCCCCTCTGGATCCTCCTCCGCAGCTTCCTCTGCAGCTTCCTCTGCAGAAGCCTCGCTACTGATCGGGGTCATAGGCTCGTTGCTGGGGTGGGCGTCGCTGGGGACGCTCATCGGGCCGCTCTTTGGCTCGTTTGCCTACCAGTACCTGTCTCCCTGGATCGCGTATCTGGTTGCGGCTGTGGCTGCAGCTGTGCTGGCGTTCCTCTCGTTCCTGCTCTCGCCTGAAGCGCACTCCCTCGACCGCCTGGAGTTCCAGCTCCGCTGGCGCAAGAAGAAGCAAAAGAAGCAGCAGCAGCAGCAGCAGCAGCAGCAACAGGAGGAAGAGCTGGAAGAGCAGGAGGAACCGCAGCTGCAGCAACAGGGTAACACGGCATCCTACGCACTCACAAGCACCTCCTTTAATCCCCCTGGCGGCACTGATACCATGCAGTCTTCTTCACCCGGCCCTGTGTCAATAGGCCTCGCCTCTGCCTCTGCAGCAGAACCCGGGCCTGACTCTATTGTCAGTCCGGGTTTCCAGGCGGGCAGCGGGCAGGTGACGGTAAATTTCGAGGCGCTAGGGGTAGAGCCTCCTCCAGAACCTTCCGACCTGCCCGACTCATTCTTTTCGTCGTTTGCGTCTCGCCAGGAGGATACTTCAGGTGACCATTCAGGGGGGGCAGCAGAGTATGATGGTGGAGACTTTGCGTTGACACGGAGATTCGAACCCATGACCTCTGCCTCCAACCCAGCAGCTGCTGCTGTTACTGCAGCTGTCTCTGCTCCTGCAGACGGCCCCCAACACACCCTACAGCCGCACCACTCTTCTCCTTCTCCCCAGCCCCACCACTCCTCGCCTCCTCCACAGCCCCGTATGCCTGCCCCTCAGGTACCCCTGGTCCCCCTCATCCCCCCTCCCAACCCCACTCCTGACCGTTCCCAAGTGCTTACTTCTTCCCTTGCCGCTCCTGCACCTGCCCGTGATCCTGAACCTGAACATGCGGCTGTGGCTGCTTCCTTGACTGTCTCAGCAGTAGCTACCGACTCAGCTGCCGCTGTTCCTGCTGCCGCTGCTGCTGTCACACCAGCAGGTGCTGCTACTGTTACAGTGTCTGCCACAGGCCCAACTGGTGCTGGTGCAAGCACAGAAGCAGAAGCAAAAGCAGATGCAGAGTGGCACGAGGTGCCTCTGTCAGGAGATACCACCTCGGCTGTTGCTCCAGCCATGAGCCACGGCATAGATTCACATGACCAGCATGCCATGAGGTATGAGCTCATGAGCCAGCAGCACTCAAATGATGAGCTCCCCATGAGCCATGGGTTGTCAGCACCAGCTGAAAGAGCGGCTGGAAGGGCCTTCGAGGGGGCCGGCCAGGTGACAGAACCAGCGGTAGCAGCATCGGTAGCATCAGTGGCAGCGCAAGTGGCAGTGCCTGAGGGAGCGCCAGCGGCAGCAGCAGAGGCGGGGATGAGTGTGAGAGGCACAGCAGCTGCAGCTGCAGAGCCTGCTGACATGATCGACCAGGCGTTTAATCTTGGCAGAGGCAGCACTAGCTCTATCACAGAAATCACCTCTGGTCCTTCCATTCCCTCTTCCGCCACCACCGCTGCCAGCACAACCACCACCAGCACGGCAACAAGCAATCAAAGTGCCCCTACCATCCCTCCTCTTGACGCTGCACCGCCTGCTACAGTAACCTTGGCAACTGCCGCTGCCGGCATCTCCTCCCACTCTGCCGCCAGCTCCGCTGTTGCAGGGCTCGGTACAGCTGGCGCCTCCAGCTCAGCCGCTGATGTCAGCAGCGGTTACAGCAGCTACAGCAGCGGCCAGCAGCAGCAGGATTACCAGCAACAGCAGCAGCAGCAGCAGCAGCAGGAGAATCAGGAGCAGCTGGAGCAGCTGGAGCAGCAGCGACAACAGCAGCGGCAGCGGCAGGGCAGCATGACCATCCGAGGGCTTCTCTTTGCCCTGCGCAACCGCCTCGCCACCGCCGTGCTTCTGACCACGGCTGTGCAAACGCTCTCCTTTGGAGCTCTCGAGGCCACGCTCCCGTTCTTCCTTGCGGACACATGCGACGCCGGACCGGCTTCTGTCGGGCTCGCGTTTGCGTTCAACGGATTGGCGTACTCGTTTGTAGCTTATGTTTCCGCGCACGCGCATGCCACCGCACATCTGCACGTGGAGGCCCGCTTGCACGCCCACGCCCGGGCGGCCCTTTCGTCGTTCTCCGCGTTCTTTACGTTCCTTGTCGCTCTGGCTTCGTCCATGCTGCTCTATGTGAGGAGTTGGTCGCCGGGAGCGACGAATTCGGTCGGGATGACTATTCTCGCATGGACGCTTCCGTTGCTAATGATTCAGGAGTTATCGTGTAGCGCGGCCCGCGTTCCACTGTACTTGTTAATGGTGGCGAATGGTGTCGGGTACGCTCTTACGGAGCTTCCGAGCTTTGCCTCTTTGGTGTCTGCATTGGAGAGTGAGGAAGACGAGGAGGTGAATTTGCTTGATAGTGGGTATGCGCGTAGCAGCTCATATGGGGAACGGAGTGGAGGAGAAAGGCATGTGGATGTGGCGGTCTTGGTTGCTTTGTACAACGGTGCGGGTGTGCTGGGGTATGCGTTTGGCCCGCTGTTGTCGACTGCGCTTGCATCCAAGCTCCCAGCTTTTTGGGTGATGGTGTGTGTCTCTGGGTTCCTTTGGCTGGTTGGGGCGTTTAGTGTTTGGGCTAGAAGAGCCCATTCTAGAAGACATACTAGGTAGAGCCTCGTCCTTTGTTGTGGTAAACGCTTTTATCACTATTTATAAACAACTACATCATCCTTCCACATGTACTGATAGTTCTGCATGATGCGAACGGACAGTAGGGGGACATGATATGATCACATAGACATGACTCTCCCCACCTTTTACTCGCATCACCCTATGGCTCATCCATTGGTCACACCCATACGCGTCCCCCGCCGCCACCAACCAATCATCCTGCCTGACGTGCAAGCCCTCGGTGTAATCTCCGCCACGAGCAGCGCGAGTTGGCGCGTAACTCCCAAAAGGCGGGCGCGCGGATTTCCCTCCCGCGAACTGGGTGCCGCCACAAGCACCCTTTCCCTTGTGTGAGTGGGTAGGCGCGCGGAATTTCCTCCTGCAATGCTGGCGCGAAGTCACCAGTGTCACCACCACCGCACGCAGTGCTCTTGGCCACGCTGGCGCGCCAAGCTCTTCTTCCCCCGAACGACCACCCCTCTTCCCCACATGACACATGCCATGTCATGTCATGCCCCTGGCTTGAATTGGATGGAATGGAATCCCCAGATTCCTCCTAGCCATGTCCAACAACCACAATCACCGTACCAGACCGATTAAAACACATAATTAAACAAACTAAACCCTTCCAGCATCCAGATTATTGGGATTTCTCTATTTTCTTCGCCTCCATTCCCAACCATCAGATTCCCACCCCGACCTTATGTGTGGCTTGTTTGCACTCAGCTTCCTCACAAGACTTCAGAATCGTGAAATCCATTATTTGAAGCCATTGCTCCAGCAGAATCAGTGAAACAGCGTCGAGAGCTGGAAGCACGAAAGTTTTCATTTCTGAGAGCTGCAAGTTGATTTCTGACAAATTGGTCTAAGGAGAATCGAGATTCGGGAATCGAGATACGGGTACCGGGAATCGGGAGCCAGAAATCCAGAGTGGGGATCATGGGTGGCCCAGACGGCGCGGGGGATCATGCGAGGCCGTCGACGGGGCAGAACGTGCCGCAGTGGTACTACCAGGACTGGGCTGGCGAGCACGGGTACGCCGGATCGGACGGTGCCGACGGTGCTCCTCTCTTGATTTGACTGTGCTCAGGTCTTGAGCAACAGTGCCCTGTCTTGATCCATCGGTGCTCCTTTCTTGATCGAACGGTGCCTGTCTCGCATTGGACGGCTGTGATGCGTCCTTGAGGCGCACTTGCGTTTTTTCTGAACAATCTCGTGTCTGCCTCGAGCTGTTGATACGATTTTCGTACGGTCGATGCAACAGCTGCCAAATTACTTCGGTTAACCTCCTCATTTCTTTCTTCGATTCGCGTTCCTATCTTCGCTCTCGCGTTTTCGTTCGTACCGCATGACAGACCTCGGACGCTCCTCCAACTCACGCAGGCGCTTCAGAAGGGTTATTTCACCCCCGACCTCCTGGTACGACGCCACGACATCCTATCTCGCTTACCCTACATTTTCATGTGCGATTTTCGTGTTGCGACGTTGGCAGTGTAACCAGCACAAGCAGGTTCTCGTGTCGACTTTAAATCCTGTTGCGAAAAACCGCGACTGAGACTTCTTCTAATACGTAGGTTCGTTCGTTCGCGGGGTGTGCAGGTTCGCAAGGAGGGCACACAGCGGTGGCACACGCTGCGAGACGTGCTCGACCTGCGACAGCTGCTGCGCGCGCGGAAACACGGGCAGGTGAGAGAGCAGGGAAACACCGGCAGGTGGGAGAGCAGGGAAACACGGGCAGGTGAGGAAGCAGGGAAACACGGGCAGGTGAGAGAGCAGGAAATTACGGGCAGGTGAGCGACCAGGGAAACACGGGCACGTGAGCGACCAGGGAAACACGGGCAGGTGAATGAACCGGGAAGTGAGTGAACCAAGGGGAAGGGGTTGTATCACTTTTGAGAGTTCCCTTTCCCCACGTTACCACCCACTCTCCCTCCTCTCTCCCTTCGCCACGCATCCCCATCGCGTAAGGGAAGCCTTGATTCCACCGCTGCACTCCATGCCTTTTGAGTCGACTCAAAAGCCACCGCTGCACTCCATGACCCCCTGTCCGCGGGTCTGCCCCACTCCGCTCACAAACATTCAAACCGACTACAAGAAGTTCCCTTTCTCCCCTTACAACCTTGTCTCCCCCCTCATTTCCTTCTTCCCTCCCCTCCGTCCGCATCCCCAATTCCGCCAATCGGCCCCTGATGCTGCAGCAGCAGCAGCAGCAGCAGCAGCAGCAGGAGGAGGGACCCCCTGACGGTACAGGAATGACCTCTGGAAGCCGCCTCTACTGTACATTGACTCCTTTGTTCCTTCCCCCCGTCCTTCTCCCATATCTCCTCTCCACTCCTATCAGGCGGCCCCCAGCAGCAGGCTGATGCTGCTGCTGATGGCGCAGCAGCATCAGAAGGGACCCTCTCACAGACAGCAGCAGTCTCCTTTGAAGCCGCCTCTGCCGCGTTCCTTTCACCCCCCACCCCCTTCCCTCTTCCCACTCTTCCCCTTCATCTTTCCTCCGTATCCCCATTCCTGACAGGCGGCTCCTCAGCATCAGCTGCATCAGAAGGGACCCCTTCACGGACGGCAGTCTCCTCAGAAACCGCCACTGCCTTGTTCCCTTCATCAACCCCCCTCTTCCCACCCACTCCCCCCCAACTTCCAACTCTTTGTTCCCCCGCATTTCCACTCCTGCCAGGCGGCCACTGATGGCGCAGCAGCATCAGCAGGAACCCCCTCACGAACAGCAGTGTCTTTGGAAGCTGCCACTGCTGTATCCCGACTCCTTTTTTCCTTCCCCCCCCCCCTCCCCCCCCGTCCTTCTACCCCCACCTTCCCCCATACAAGGCGGCCCCTGATGGCGCAGCAGCATCAACAGGAACACCCTCACGCACAGCAGTGTCCTTGGAGGCCGCCACTGCCGCGTCAGCAGCTGCTCTGGCGGGGATCTCCCCACGAAGAGACGGGTCCCCTGCTTCTGCCACGTCAGCCGCCGCGTCAGCAGCCGTGCCAGTTGTCAGCCTGATTTCCGCAGACGACCCAATCACGAATCTGTTCAAGACGCCCGGGCAGGTGAGGTTGCGTTCAAGCCTGCCGGTGCCAGGCAGGTATACTTCCATTCAGGAAATGAACTCTATTTCCCTTGAAGGAACAGGGGAAGAACAAGGGAAGGCGCAGGTCCCCTTCAACAGCTACAGCCTACAGCCACAGAGCTCCTCACATTCCCTTCTCTACGCCCCGCTGTGCCCCCACCAGGAGTGGTTCTATTCTATGTGGACATGCAAGGGAAGGTGCAAGGGAGCCTTCAGCTCGCACGTCCCATCCCCAGCTCTCTCTGCCCCTTGTCGCATCTGCGCTCCTCTGCGCCCCTCTGCGCCCCTCTGCGCCCCTCTGCGCCCCTCTGTGCCCCTCTCCCCCCACCACACCAGGAGTGGTTCTACGTGGACATGCACGGGGAGGTCCAGGGCCCCTTTAGCTCGCAGAAGATGCAGCGCTGGTGGACTAACCCCCTCTATAAGGATCACTTCTCCTCACTAAAGTGCCGCAGAGGGCACCATGGTGAGTGTGACTGTAACGAGTGTGACAGCAACGTGACATCCACTGAAAGTGTAGCGCCAGTGGACCAACCCCCTCTAGAAGGACCACTTTTCCGTGCTAAAGTGCTGCTGAGGACACCATGGTGAGTAACGAGTGTAACAGGTATGACAGTAACGAGTGTAACAGGTATGACAGTAACGAGTGTAACAGGTATGACAGTAACGAGTGTAACAGGTATGACAGTAACGTGTGTTACAGCAACGAGGTATCAGCTGAAGATGCAGCGCTGGTGGACCAACTAACTTCTCGTTACAGTGATGAAAATGTCATGATGGATATGACCGTCGTTACCCTCTTTCCCGTCTTTCTCCCTCTCCCATGTATTCCCCTCTCCTGTGTTTCCCCTTCTCCTGTGTTTCCCCCCTCCCTGTGCTTTCCCCTCTCCCGTGTTCCCCCCTCTCGTGTGTTCCCCCCGTGTTTCTCGCTCTCCTGATGTGTCCCTTCCCCGCTGGTATTCCCCCAGGCGAGTTCCGCCTGCTGCCTGAAATAGCAGAGGAGGTCTGAGACGCCTCAAAAGTCTCCTCTTCCCCCCCACTTCCCCCCCTCCCCCTCTTTCCCTGTGTTCTTGGCTCCCTGCTGGTATTCCCCCAGGCGAGTTCCGCCTGCTGCCTGAGATAGCAGAGGAGGTGGCTGCAAGAGGGCCTCCTCCGGAATCACCCAAGCAACTTGGGTATAGAGACCCTGTTAGCGCGAAGGTATGTCTGGTCGAGAGGCGAAGGGAGGGAGGGAAAGGGAAAGCAGGGAGGGAGGGAAGGAGGGAGGTGGGTTGGACTGGCTGGGGCTGGGGCTGGGGCTGTAAAGCAGGGAGGGAGGGAAGGAAGGAAGAGATAAAACGCAGGGCGACTGGGGCAAAGGAGGTGGAGGAGAGGAGACAGAAGGCGCATGCGCATTACAGAAGGCACCCTTTTGTGTCAATTCAGGGTTTCAGCATTTGAGTTTCGGGCTTTGGGTCTGAGACTGTATGAGAGTGACTGGGCCAAGGAGGTGGAGGAGAGGAGAGGTGACAGATGTCGCCTCACCACACCCACTCTTCCATGTGAAGCCAGGGTGAGGGTTTCGGGTTTCGCGTTTAGGGTTTTCGGCTTAAGGCCTTTTTCAAGGTAAAAGTGATTAGGAAAAGAAAGTGGAACTGCCAGGCCGCTCTAACAGCCCCTACCCTCCCGTCCCACCTTACCCACCCTCCCGTATTCCCTGCGGCAGGCAGAATGAGTGGTATGTGCGGTCGGGGTCGTGCAAGGAGGAGAGCCATCTGGCCAAGCAGGTGGAGGAGCTGTGAGGCACCTCAGACAGCCCCTACTTTTCCTTTCCCCACCCCCTCCTTCCCCACCCCCTCCTTCCCCACACCCCTTCCCCCCATGGCAGAAGGCCCCGAAGAGCGAGCGGTATGTGCGGTCGGGGCCGAGGAAAAAGGAGAGCGACTTGGCCAAGGAGGTGGAGGAGCTGAAGCAGCTGTGAGGCACCTCAGACAGCCCCTACTGTTTCTTTCTCCACCCCCTCCCACCTCAAATGGCAGAAAGCCCCGAAGAGCGAGCGATATGTGCGGTCGGGGTCGAGGAAAGAGGAGAGCGATCTGGCCAAGGAGGTGGAGGAGCTGAAGCAGCAGGTTGAGCGGCTGGAGATGGACAACGAGGGGCTGAGGAACTCACAGGAGGACACCTTCATTGTGAGTCTAACAAGTGTGCTCTTGGCTGTGAGATTACCTTCGTTGTAAGAGCACACTGCTCGTACACTAGCCTGTTGTCTGTAAAGTGGTGGAGGAGCTGAAGCAGCAGGTGGAGCGTCTGGAGGTGGACAACGAGGGGTTGAGGAATTTGCAGGAGGACACCTTCATTGTGAGTCTAACAAGTGTGCTCTTGGCTGTGAGATTATCTTCGTTGTAAGAACGCGCTGGGACTGAAGCAGCAGGCGGGGTGGCTGGAGGTTGATAAGGAATGGAGGAGAGTGCGCAGGGAAGTCTAAAGCAGCTGAGCATGCCTCTTCTTCTCCCCCTTCGGCATTGTGACTTCTGCTCATAAAGCTCTTGCAGAAGTGCACAATGCTGAAGGGGGGGAAGGAGAGTCTGCAGGAGGTGCTGCAGTACGCACAGCAGTTTGACGTTGCAGATGAGGGCGTGGCTGATGAGCAGATCCCTGGCGAGGGGGATGAAATGGGCTGATTGGGGGCGCATCCCCTCCCATGACTCTCTTCCCCCTTCCCCTGATGACCCCCTTCCCCGCTCCCCGACCCTCCCCCCCTTTTCCTGCTCTCCCATCTCCTTCAGCTGCGCATGCAAGTGGAGCGTCTTCTAAGGGAGAAAGCAGAGCTAGCACGCGAGGTCACTATGTTAAAGAGGGAGAAGGAGTCTCTGCAGGAGCTGCTGCAGTACGCGCAGCAGTTTGACATTGCAGATGAGGGCGTGGCTGATGAGCTGATCGCGGGCGAGGAGGGCGAGGGCATGGGCGGGAACGAGTGGGGGGCGGGCGAGGGGGACCGGGCCACAGAGGAGTGGTTTCAGATGCTCGAGGCAGCTTCCCATAAGAATCCCAACGGCTTAGAGGAGAATTAGGTTGTGGTGAGGTGCGGTTTTGGTCCGGATGAGGTCTGGGTGAGGTCTGTTTGAGGTCTGGTTGAGGTCTGGTTGAGGTCTGGGCGAGGTCTGGGCGAGGTTTGGCTGAGGTATGGGCGAGGTCTGGGTGAGGTCTGAGCGAGGCCTGAGGTGTGGGTGAGGTGTGTTGAGGTGTGGTTGAGTGGCAGGATCGTTCAAGTGCAGCATCAGGAGCTGCTGCAATACGCGCATGAGGGAAAGTGCTTAGAGCAGATGAGAGTGGCTACTCACTGAGAGCTTCTGCTTAGAGTGTTTTGGTGGTGTTAGGGAGGTGTCAAGGAGGTGTTAGGGTGTTATGAGGGAGGTGTCAGGGTGTTGTGAGGAAGGTGTGTGAGGGAGGTGTGAGGGAGGTGTCAGTGTGGTGTCGGGGATAAAGGATGTGTCAACTTGGACAAAAGGCGGGGGTGAAAGGATGGAGAGGTGGGGGAGGATGGCTGCTCCAGGACTGGGTGGAAGAGAAGCAGGCGACATGTGGTTGATGCAGGTAGGCCTGGAGTTGAACCTGCTCTGATAAAGTCCTCTGCATAGGAGACGGGGATTTGGACTGCAGTGAACAGTGGTGGGCGCCAGAGCTGATCTCAAGAATCGTGTGGCTGAATGCTGCAGTGGGCAGGAGGAGGAAGAAGCAGAAGGAGCAGTTGCAAGAGCAGCAACAGCAGGTGCAGAAGTAGCAGCAGAAGCAACAACACCAACAGCAGCAACAGCAGGAGCAGCGGTAGCAGCAGCAGGGGTGTACCGTAGGTCCAAGCTGTGTTGCTGCAACCAGAACCTGTAGTGTACAAGGTTCTATAGGCGCAACAGTAGAGGTAGTTTATTAGCAGCCTGCCATTCAAAACGATCATAGCCAAGAAAATCACTTGTACCGTAGTACCTATTTTGTGCTCGGCGTTGTACCTACTCGGTTCTGTTAGTTTCACAATCAGTATTTACGAAGTGTGGGTGTGAACAATCTATACTGTGCATCCTTTCAACAGAATAACATCAATATTGAACAGGCAAAAAATAATTTCAAGCAGGAATTATAGTACATTCACCGGGGGGGGGGGGGGGGGGGGGGGGGGGGGGGGGGGGGGGGGGGGGGGGGGGGGTAGCAGAAGCTTACTGGGCCCTGAGGAGCATTTGTTTATGCTCTGCTTGCCTCTATAGCCCCAAGCCAGACAGAGATGCACCAACCATGACACGGAACCCCACAAGATGACCAAAGACAACAAGCACGCCACTTCCCAACCCTAAATCCACGATATGAGACATTCTAGGGCAATCTAGTAAGAAAGAAAACAGCAAAATATTTCAAACGTTGTAAGGAGGAACGTTGTCCTTGACTGCTGCTGGCACGGCTGCATCAGCAATGGCCTTGAGCACACCGCGCTTGTACATGCGGATGGTGTAGTACCAGAACATTGCAATGTAGATGAAAGCAGCAAAAAACGCCATGGCGCACGCACCACGGACTTTGTTCAGGTCCGCATTAGCATCGTCAATGTATTTATTGAGATAAACTTTGGGATCCATTGATGAAGGACTTTTGAGTCCGGGCTCAATGAGGCGAGCAGGGCCTCCGTGGTGCTGCTGCCGTAACCGCCAAGCGCCACACTGCAGAACAAGAGAGGCAGGAAGAAATTATTGAAAGGCACAAAACCACAAGGAAGACTAAATTATTTATAGCCTGCTTTAGTATGTAGGTACTTAGAAGTAGCTTTTTTGTGTGTGTGTGTGTGTGTTTTTTTTTCCTCCTGTAGCGATGCAAAAGATACGTACCTGTTCAGGGCGCTGGCGTTCCACCACGTGTTGCACGCAGCTGCTCCAGATGTGGCGGCGGCGAACAGGAGGAGCGACATAATCTGTTATCATAAGCGGGAACAGAAAAAACGGAGCTTTTGTTTCGAACGACGAATTCAGGGGAACGTTGAAATGAGGACAAGAAAAGAAACTCATGTACAAAGGGGAGACGAGCGCGAGAGACAAGAGGGAGAGAGGAGAGAGGGGAGAGAGAGAGAGAGAGAGAGAGAGAGAGAGAGAGAGAGAGAGAGAGAGAGAGAGAGAGAGAGAGAGAGAGAGAGAGAGAGAGAGAGAGAGAGAGAGAGAGAGAGAGAGAGAGAGAGAGAGAGGGAGAGAGAGAGAGCGAGAGAGAGAGAGAGAGAGAGAGAGAGAGAGAGAGAGAGAGAGAGAGAGAGAGAATTGCATCGCAATAGCTCGCCGGGGCGCGCGGCTTGGTTGACAAAGAAAAATCTTAACGTTTCAGAATTCATACTCTGAAAGCTCAAAGGTTCGAGGCCATCAAGGGTTCGAGGGACTCATGTCGATCTCTAGGGTTCAATCAACTCAGGTAGCTCGAAGGGACTCGAAGGGACTCACGTAGGACTCGAAGAACGACTCACGTAGGACTCGAAGGGACTCACGTAGGACTCGAAGAACTGCACAATGTCCATGAGCCAGTCGTACGCCTCGGAGCCGGCGACGCAGATGCGCACGGAGTTGTAGACGAGCAGCATCACGGCGAATATGAACCCCAGAATGGTCATGCCCACCAGAAACGCGCCCGCGCTGTACGACGTCACTGTCGCCGTCGTTGCGAAGCACAGACTGCGTATGTGAAAATTAAATCGGAACCAACCGGAAAAAAGAGAGAAAGAAATGATTAAGAAAGAAAGAAAAAAATCACAACACAAAACGTGTTTGCGAGGGCTGGAGAATATGTCTTACGTGTCGCGTCCTGAAATGCGTCTATTTGATTTGTGGGCGTTCATCTCTAACTTTCCAGGTGCGGAGGATTTTAAGCATGACTTGATAAGGCTAGTCGATCCCAACTGAAAAGATGCCGAAGGAGGCTACACCAGGAAGGGATCAGCGCACCTGAAAGCGACGAGGCAGAAGAAAAAGATGCCGATGCGAACGCAGAAAGGGAGCCACGTGTACAGCGTGGACCGCTTGTTGTTGGCGCAGCACCCGCTCGAAGTGCTTGCCGCTGGCGCTGGCGGTGGCGGGGCGTACTGGGGTGGTGGAGCGTTGTACTGGGGTGGAGGAGCTGCGTTAAAACTTCCGGCAGTCATGCCCTGCATGTTCGGAGCCTGCTGCTCAGCCATATTCAGTTTACGGCTTTGCGCCTAGTCTGATGTTACGAAACTATCTGTGCGGAAGGACAATTACAGAAGCTCGGCTCGAGTGGACCGTAGGAGACTCAGGGTGAAGGTTTCTTGGTTAGAGAACTGGAGAGGGAGACTCTCTAAACAAAGACGACGTGGTGTGGTGAGAAGTGGGGAGGAGAGTGAGATGGTGTTTGGAAGGAGGACGGGGCGGAGCGGATTTATGTGGAATTGCTGCAGCGGCGGGGGGAATGGCGTGGGATTGTGAGCACGAGCGGGGGTAGGCAGAGCGGAAGCGAGCGGTGACATGGCGAGCCAACGCAGCGTGACTAGCTGGTTGACCTCGACTTGTCGCTCTTCATCGTGGCGGAGCTGGCCGGGTCAACGGCGTCTCTCTAATTGTATTGGTTGGAATCACCGTGCTGTAACTTCAGGCTGAGTCAATGTTGTGTGATTGTGTGTAACATTGCCATGCTGGCGCAAATCCACCTCGGCAATGCGCCGATAGTGACGATGCACACGTGCTTCCAGACCATTCGAAAATCGTTTTCTTTTGCGAAGACCCATCTGGTAAACAGTTTCGCCTGGTTTCGCGAAGCACCGTTATCGGAAAGTTCTCCATTGTATTGGTGTAAATCTCCAGATGCAACCTTCTAATGAATGTAAGTAGTATTAGTTGTATCCCCGCATGCATTGAACGAATACTTATGTGCGAACATGCAAACGTTTACGCAGTGCGTGCGAGCTAGCTAGTGCTAGGGGAATCGAGGTTCGGGCTAGTCCCGAAGCGTAGGCCGACTCGGCCGGGCCAGCGGTGCATGGTTTGGTGAAACAGTGCGCGTCAAGTTGGTGAAGCCCCGTTAGCGGTAACGGATTAACAAACGACTTCTGATGTACGCGATGTGAAGAACACGGTAAGGAATGTCAAAAAATTCCTTACACTACCCCCCCCCTCCCTCAAGAAGACCCCTTCGGCACGCGAGTGCGTGTACGTCGCGAAAACCTAGGCTCCTCGGTACACTTGCAAGGCAGGGTGGTTTTCAATGTTGGCCAGGGGCACCCAGCTATCTTCAGTTGGCGTGCGGTCCTTTTAGCGAATAAGGAACCCGATCCTCCTGATGCCTGTAGGGACGAATCCGATGGCTCAAAATCTTCTCGGGCTCAACGATCGGCTCCGATGCAGGGCGAGTCATCGATGGTGCACGACGGCGAGGCGGTTGGCTCGTGGTTGGGATGTACTGGCGAAGCAGGCTGACGTGGACTGATGGACTGATGTACCAGTCGGTCGGCAACAGTAGATGGGCGGTAACTGGGGTGATCATGTGGCTGATTTGGAATGGTCCACAGTAGCGCGGTCGAAGTTTTTGCACGACGGGCAGTCTTAAGTTCTGCGTGTCGAGCAGTACGTAATGCCCTGATTGGTATGTTACCGGGCAGCGGTGGCGGTCAGCATTTCTCTTCGCGATGATGTTGGCTTTTTTTATCGCGTCTGCTGCTCGTGTTCGGGGCAGCTTGCGGGATCTCGGCAAACTGTTGTGCGCGTGGCGTTGGGGTTGTCCGGAATCAGCGTAATGGGCACTGTTGGGATTTGCTCGTAGTTCAAGTAGAACGGGAACTGTGTCAAACTATATATGTGTTAGTTCTGTGTAGGCTATAGTGGGGTAGCCCATATGGGGTACAACCCAATGTTAGGGTACCCACAATCTCTTCAATGCAATCATTCCTGCTCGTTCATTCTGACATGGTTTCAGAGCAGTAGGTCCGTAGGACCGTTTTTTTTTTTCCGGGCCCACCGTTAGCTAGTAACCGACTGCGGTTACCACGCTACTTCACGCCCTGCCCTGCGTCGCGCTGCCAGCGCATGCCCTGCCCTGCTCT